CCACATTTTTCAAATAGTTTCTCCCGGCCTTAAAGGTCTTTTTCTGTCCTAGTGCAGACAGACTGAGTCTAAGAACCGCAGGCCGTCATGCAAGAGGAATGCAACCTCCTCTCTGTCGGAGTGGTTCAGTTTGAATGTAGCTCTACTCGCAAGTGACGCCTCTTATAAAGTGTGTGACATTAAAAAAGATTGCTGAAAACATGTCCATGGTTTTGAGGAGAAATGATGAGGAAAGGATGGGAGGAATTACCGCGAGGAAAGGAATGAGACCAACGATTCCATGAACTAGAGTTGCAGTGAGAAAAAGGGTGTTGCAGGTGCCAAGGTTTTTGGAAGCGAAAGTCAAATGTATTGTGTTTTTAAACAGTTCAAAGTGACTGGAAGATGGAGTACTGGAGTAGGCATACCTCTCCTGCTTGAAGATAGGAAACTATGTTAGAATGTTAGAAATATCAGGTTATCTGATTCAAAAGCAAGTGTTTAGTTGAGAGGAATGTCAACTATGAGTCCCAAGGAGAAATGTTATCACAGATCTTAAAAAGGTGAAATGCGAGCAAAAGCAAACACAATATTTAGAATTCTTTATAAAAACTTTGACATTTTTGGAAAATACACTTTCATAAGCAGTTTATCATAAACACTGTAATCCACTGTAGTCTTTGTACCTTTGTCCAGAAGCCCCCTAGCCATTTCCCTGTGTTGTGCTTTCTGCTAACCTAAGGTAAGCTAATTTGCTGCTTGATGTAAAATATTTCTAATCTTACTTTGAAGAAGAACAAAACTAAACGTAATTCCCCAAAATCACAATATCTTTTAGGATGACAAAGCATCTTAACAACTTCAAGCTTTTGACACACAGTGCTAAATGCACAATTGACTAGATTGAAGTTGAGGAAAGGGTTGATTTCCCTGAAGTGATTCAAACTGATGGCATTAAAACTATATATATATACTAGTATTAGTAAATGATCTAATTCCTAGTTGTGGTGTTGTCATTGTCTACATTGTCGCTGTATTGTATTATTTTCATGGCTCTGTTGTTTAAGTTATATTGATAAGCATTTTTTGGTTTCGCCTGTGTGGGCATGTGCGGGTGGAGGGAGCGAGGGGGGAGTGTAGTGAGTGTACTGTGATATTACAATATAAATGAAATGGCATCGATTACTGTACACTATAATGAAATAAAAAGACTTAGTTAAAAAAAAAAGTAAATGATCTAAATCAGGACATTTTTACAGTAGGGTAAACATATTTCAAGAGTTACATTGATAAAAATATACTTCCTGGTTATTTTGGGGCCTTTTACTAAAGCCAGCCTAGATTAGAAGGCTGTGACTATAACTACTACAATGCATATTGAGACATTGACTGCTGCGAATCTGCCTCACATCCTCCTAAGCCCTCTCCTCTCCTTTCATCCTTCCCTTTCTCCTCCTCTCTGTTGATCCCCGGCTCGTTCTTTGTCTCTCAATTTCCTTGTGTTTGTGTTCCTAATCTCTTACCCAGACTCCTCTTTCTCTCCCTCTGCAGTCTGTCCTTCAGTGTCTCGCTTTCTTCCTCTGAACCCGCCTCTCGACTAGTTTTGTATCAGTTTGCTTGACTCCCTCCCATCCTCAATTCCTCTTCTTTTCCTGCTGTCCCTTGCTCTGTCTGGTTGTCCTTAGTAATCAAACACAGGCGGTCAGACATAGACAGGATGTGAGGTCAGAAGAGGAGAGGAAGTGAGCGTGCGTGGGCAGGGTGAGGGATAGTGAGGACAGAGGTGTGTGTGTGTGTGTGTGTGTGTGTGTGTGTGTGTGTGTGTGTGTGTGTGTGTGTGTGTGTGTGTGTGTGTGTGTGTGTGTGTGTGTGTGTGTGTGTGTGTGTGTGTGTGTGTGTGTGTGTGTGTGTGTGTGTGTGTGTGTGTGTGTGTGTGTGTGTGTGTGTGTGTGTGTGTGTGTGTGTGTGTGTGTGTGTGTGTGTGTGTGTGTGTGTGTGTGTGTGTGTGTGTGTGTGTTACACTGGGATGAGATTCGGTTTCTGATTCAGCCGTCAGCATCAGCCCTGTGGTTGCTCTCTATATTAAACTCTTAAGCAGCTGGAGTCAGCAACCACAGCACTCAGCGGTGAGGTAAAGCAATACGGTTTTTCAAAGTTTATTACAGGTCTCCTTAAATATTAAATAAATCTTACTTCTGTCACAAATGTTGTGGGTTAGCAAACTTTTCAATTTTGTTTTATAATACTGAAGTATCAATCTTGTTTGGGCTAAAAGTAGCTATGTAATTTAACCATTTACACTAGTTCAAGTCAATATTTCACCATTTTATACTTTTGACCTGATTCAGGCATCAAGAAGCAGTTCCATGTTGGCACAATAGCATAAAATACCAAATCAAATCTATTATTTTTGTGATTTATGACAAACAACACTGATTTGTACGAGAAGTAATGGAAACATTTCAAACTTGGCTTAAAGTCTTTTTTGGAGCTTTGTATTGCATCTTATAGTCTTCATCAGTGAATGCAGCTGTTTTGGTAGGATGTTAAACCAATTCATTTAATGACAGACATTGAACATGCATTAAACCTACTCCCACAACACCCCTTCATAAATAACAAGCACACAATTCCCAATAACTGAGACAACAACACGCATGCATTAACACATTCATTCTTGCACACACAAATCTTTACAAACACTTGACCTACATGCCAAATTGTTGCCTTCTAGGACAAACACTGCAGAAAAACTAAATAATTTCTACACGTCCTGATAAAACAGTGTACTTTTTTATCCATGTACAATGTTCTATTATCAACATGTCTTGCTTTCTGAACATGACAGCTGAAATGATGCGGTAATGGAATTCCACCTTTTTCTAGCCTTATTCGTGGCAGACAAGTAGCTACAGGAGTGCAGCATTTAACAGGCAACTTATTCTCCTTTTGCACCCAGCTGTGATGAATGGGTGGAATAAGCTGGGTCAGCCTGTCAGCTGCTCATGTCTGGAGATGTCTGACTGACTGAGCCTTTATTCCATAAAAGAGAAAGGTTTGTCCAAATGGATGAAAAGGGACAAGTGGGTGTATAAAGAAAAAAAGGTGCTATTGAGTCAAATATTCTAGCAGTAAAGTCTTGAATGTTTACTTCACGTGTTGAACTCTATGCTCACAGCAAGCCCCAACACACACACACACACACACACACACACACACACACACACACACACACACACACACACACACACACACACACACACACACACACACACACACACACACACACACACACACACACACACACAGACAGAGTAGCTTAACCCTCCTCCTCCTATCCCCCATCTCCGGTAACTTGATACTTCAACATTGGAAACACACACACGCACGCACGCACACACACACACCTACACACACACACACACACGCACGCAGGGGTCAATTTGAGGTTGTGCTTCCATGACATCACTGTTGCCATGACTCATAAGTGTACCCCCAGGCACAGTAAGGCCCAACTCCCCCACTGAACCTGTCCCAGGGACTTAACCACACACACACACACACACACACACACACACACACACACACACACACACACACACACACACACACACACACACACACACACACACACACACACACACACACACACACACACACACACACACACACACACACACACACATACACACACACACACACACACACACACACACTCCCATTCATCACTTACTCCAGCTATACAATAATCTTCTGAACACAAAGTGCTTTATACACATGTATACGGTGTATGTGTACACAGGTGTTGAGTGTTTTTGTGTTTTTGTCATCGTGCGTGTTCCGTTAATGCATATTTAAAGCAGTCACTGTAACACACTCATCAAAGCTTCTTGGTTTCATACAGGTGTTGTGTTGCTGACACACACACAGGCACACACACATCCTGTGTGATTTACAGTGGTCAGACTCAGATGGAGAAAGCAGGCCTCCCCTGTTTGGAAAATACTTAAACTGTGGGGATCACACAGGGGGGGAAAGAGTTCCATTACCAACACATGTGTACACACACACACACACACTCACTTGCATTTACCCTCCTCCCTACCCTGAGTGTCCAATAAATAACATTTAGACACATCGTATCACTGGAACAGACCCGTACATAGGTGTGACTGTTTGTGTGCATATGTTTATGATGTGTGTGACCTCGCAATGGAATAGTTCACCATAAATCCTGCTGAAAAAGTCAACTTAATGAACTTCGAGGCTGCAACTGATGACTATTTTCATTATGTATTCAAGTAATGCATAATAAGCTGACCTGTAAGGCTACAACAACACTGCTGACGTCAGTGATGATTATTCAAAGGTATTTGAACGGATGCCTCCAAAGATAATGAACAAATAGGGATCACCGAGAACAAATATGAGTCATATTTGTTCTCAGTGATCCCCTTTGTTATAGGTCGGGAATTTCTGCCTAATGCTTTTCTGTGAAATACTGGGTAATTGTTCACATGTTGGGATGAGTTAGGCACTAGCTGGAGAAACAAGTGTTGCATCACACACCATAAGATATCACACACCATTTGTTTAAAGAGTTATACCTGTTACTCGAAAAAAGATGACTCATTTAATATTTGTATAGATGTTTTCAGAAACTATTTTAGGCCTGTTTAGCTGTCTTTTTTAACCTCCAATTACACAATTTAGATTCAAATCTTGGCTGACCTTAGACAACAATCAGCCATAGATTTCAAGATATCGCAATAACCTATTTTGTGGGAATGTAAAATCCTTTCGTTATCAATCAACCACCCATTTCAGCATCACTGCCAAAATGACTATCATGCATCTGTTTTGAAACCTAGGATAATGGAATTTATAAGTCAGACTCAAATTTAGGATTATTTATGCACGCAAATTACAACTGTGCCAGTCTCTCTTTTCTGTTAAATATTAGAATAATTAACTATTGTTTTTTATTTTTGATAATCAATCTCTTGTCTCTGTCTCCTCAGATCATGATTCAGAGGGGAAGCGAGTTCAAGACATGCTGTCTGCAATCGACAAACCACAGGTTGGAATGCATACATCTCGCCTCACACACACACACACACACACACACACACACACGCACACACACACACACACACACACACACACACACACACACACACACACACACACACACACACACACGCACACACACACACACACAACATAGCAGTTATATTTCATATTCTCTTCCTATGTGATTAGCATAATATATCTGAAGATTACACTGAAAACTAGAAAATGCATTTCCTGCTGAAAATGCGTGCGAATGCTGTAAACTGTGTACATTTGTTGCCGAATTTAGCTGAAAATGCAGAAAAAGCTGAATATGTTACTAGTTGAATGGTCTGTGTAGCTGCTTTTAGCTACAAAAACTAAGTAAGTGTGTTTTGCTGAATTTAGCGGAGAAATGCAGAAAAGTGAAATGATTTGAATCAAATTGTTACAGCTCAAATGCATTGCAATGACTTTGTTGAAAACTTGAAAGTGAAATGTTAAACTGGAATAGTAGGAAAAATAGTGAAGAAGCTTAATATTTAAAAGAAAAGGTTTAAAAAAGGTATAAACAACAACATGTATAGCCTCAATGTCCTGAAATAGCTGAATAATGTAATAGTTGAATGGTTTCTGTAGCTGAAAGTAGGCTGAAGGAGTTAGATATGACATTTTATTTCATTTAATCGTTTATTTGAATAGGGACAATGCACATTAATGAACACTTAAGACAAATAATGCCTTCAAGTGTAAATATGCCAGATTTGAGTTTTGAGCTAATTTCCATCCGTAGTCCCTGACATACAACATATAAGAACATGACATTTATAAACATAGCAAAAAATAAATACATGATATGCAAAAAGAGCAAGAGCAGCATACACAAGTATTTACCACATGGCAGTACAATATGTAATACATAATATACATACATAATACAATGTAAGTAGTAGTGAATGAATGTGTATTAAGAAGATAAAAGAAAGTAAAAGCACTTTGAAAAGCAGCAGAATATTTTAACTGCAAACATTTGAACTAAAAACAAACGTCACCAATAATGTATAAAATATGTGGAACATGTTGAAGTCAGTATGAAGTCTCCATCAGACAGAAAAGAATAGGCTGAGACAGTCTTTGTGTTTGAGGTGACGACGTTATCAAACACCTGTGTGCAGAGATCAAAGGTTACCATGGAGATGTGCAGTGAAAGGAAAGCCGTTCCATTGATCTGAATGAGAGATAAACCTCTTACATTTCTAACTATAGTTTAAAAACGGTAGCTGATATTGGTAAAATGTCAACGTGCAGCATGTCAGGACCCTGACGAGCGTCTGAGTCTGCTGATTGTGTACTTTCGGGTCAATAATGTGGCATTTTGGGCAGATTTACTAAAGGTGCGCAGCTGCTGCTCTGACGAAAGATCAAGCTGAATTTACAATGGACCTTAATGGAGACATGTTGAAAGTTTTTGTCACTTCATGCCCTCAAGAGGCATTTTGTTTAAGTTTTTTCTTGATTTTTTTTTAAATTTTTCAACGTAGGAGAGGTTTTCCTACGTCTTTCATGAAAAATGATATCCCAGGAGTGTAGGGTTTGGGAGTTATGGCAGGTTTAAAAAAGAATTTGGGCGAATTTCAAGCTCTCCCCCACTCTTAACGAGCGGTGCAATATACACTAATGTTAAAATCTGAAGAAGGCCTCTTTACCAAGCTCCAAACTAAGTTAAATATCTAAAAAAGTATAAAAGATATCAAAAATCTGAAGAATAAGTCTTATAGCTGAATGTCTTGTGATCATTTTAAAGTTGGAATGAAGTCCCTAGCTGAAAGTATGTGGAAGGAGTAGCATTTGGCGCACAGTGTAGGTACAAGAGGATTTGAAGGTTCCTCCCATTGAGTTCCATGTTAAAAAAAGAGTTTAAAAAGCTGAATATTTCAAAAAGTATAACATATTTTGAAAAAGTTGAAAGTTTCCCATCATGTGCTGAAAAGGCTGAATATTTTTGATATTTGAATGGTTTCTGTAGCTGAAAGTAGGCTGAAGTTATTCGAAGGCAAAAAAACGTACGGAAGAACTGAAATAAGAAGATGAAGTTGAAGAATAAAGATTTGAAGAACTATAGTGGAATGCTGTGTCTCTGTCATTATGAAGTCATTTGGGGCTTTTGTAACTGACTGGGAAGGTAACCAGTCCTTTATGCTCTGCTCACCCTGGCCACATGAGGGCAGCATCAGCTCACCCACGACACTCTCTTCCCACTCGGCATTTATGACACTCTTTCTCCCCCGAGGGGAATGCAAATTAATGAGCTCTATCCATGCAGACATGGTTTGGTAGAGAAGAATGGCTCCCTCCTAGTTGAAGCATTTTGGTCAGCAGGAAGGGAACATTTGATTTATTTTAAGTTAATAGCAGGGGTTGAATTAGAAAGAGAAAATCGAGTGGTGACAGAAAAAGAGAAGTCAGGTGTGAGTTTTGAGCCCTTCAGGAGATTTGAAGTTGATGGAAACAGCAGTGTATTTGCTCTCATAACATCAATCCACCTTTTGCTGACATAGCCATGGTAGTATAGTCGATACTGCTCAACAAAATTTTTTTGAGATCGTTCTGTCTCATCGATTGCTATTTTCTGTTATAAAATGCAGACTCTACGATCTGTCACTTTTGAAACTGCATTTCTTCTTTATGCATTTATATAGGCGGCGGTAGTGGTAGATGTACAGGGAGCGATAGTCCTTCCTCCCTGCCCTGCAGCCGAAATGCCTTGTGATGGATTGAGCTGTGTGCCGTAGAGACGGGGTAGCAGGTGTCAGTGGCAGAGCTTAAATTAAAAAGTTCTTCATAAAGAAATCATAACATATTGTTCCTCTGGTTGTATGGCTTAGCTTTCATAGCAGGTAGGTGTTGACTTTAGCTGAAGTGAAATATAACAAGCAGGAGGGCTTGAAAGAGAAGTAGCTGTGTGTTTTCCTGATCATATTTCACTCGTAGATCTTAAATCAAGTGCAAATCACTTATTTAGTGTGCATTGTCAACATGCGAGTGTTTCAGGCAAATCATTTGTAGATAATGAAAAGCCCCAAGATAAAAGGGCACAAACCTCTTAGTGCTGACCTTCAGTTTTCATCTCCGTTTCTAATCCTCCTTTCTTTGTGCCCTTCTTTCCTGATTTCTATCATTTTGTCTTAGTCTCACAGTCTTTCCTCATTTTTGCTGTTCTCAAGCATTATCAGGCCATTCATTATTAAGTATTATTTATGCAGCCAAAGTGTACATGTGAGCGAAGTGATTGACAGAATAAGTGTTGGAAAAAGTGTTCCTAGTTGTAAAAAACGTTACATAAAAGACAATGGTGTCCTCAGGCATATGGATACAGTGATATGTTCCCATAAAACGTAATCATTGTGATCAAAACCCTCATAAAATGACACGTCTGTCTCTTCATGTCTGTCTTCCTCATAGACAGCCTAGGCATGGTTGTGGTTTTGCAATGCCCTCAAGGCGCATTCATCGCCTACTCAGTGGATGTGGAGTCTGGAATAGCAGCAGACTGCTAAATCACGCTAAATTGGCTCACCCACCATGTGCCACACCTAAAACTCCCATAAACACGCAGGCACTTGCAGACACACAGACAGACACGCTGTTAAACACACACACACACACACACACACACACACACACACACACACACACACACAAACACACACACACACACACACACACACACACACACACACACACACACACACACACACACACACACACACCACACACGCAAGCCTCTAATTCCTTGTTTGTTAATTTATTATTTTCATACGTGTTCCCGGAACAATGGATTAGTGGAAAATGGTCGAATATGAGGGGGGATTTCAATGCCGTATTGCTTTACACACACACACGCACGCGCACACACACACACACACACACACACACACACACACACACACACACCACACACACACACACCACATACACACACATCACACACACACACACACACACACACACACACACTCTCTCTCTCTCTCTCTCTCCTCTCTCTCTCTCTCTCTCCTCTCTCTCTCTCTCTCTCTCTCTCTCACTCTCTCATCTACTCTCTCATCTCTCTCTCTCGCTCTCTCTCTATCACACACACACACACACACACACACACACACACACACACACACACACACACACACACACACACACACACAGAGCCTAATACATACTAACATGGATGTATCTTAACTACACGTTCCAGGGGTTAGAATGACTGCTGCAAAGGATTTCTGAGAAATAAAATAAAACAATAGTCCTGCATTTATCTGCTAACCAATGGACACACTTCGATCACCACATTCAAATGATTGTTTTTTTGTGTATATTTACATTTATTTGTGTCTTTACAGGTTTCTAATGTGCAGGCTCGGGCTGCACGGCTGTGCTGGGCCCCCCCGGCAGGGCTGGGGAACAGGTTAAGTAACGGGATGACTGTGTCCTGCTCCTTCGAGGTCTCTCTCTCAGATAAGGGACGAGATGGAAAGTTTCGCCTTATATACAGGTAGGAAACACACTCCAAATGTATAAAGTGCAAGGCATCAGCTACAAATACAGAGACATCAAAAGGATACTGCCTTGATTTTGATGCTTTGTTTGTGTGTTTGTTTTCAGTGGCGAAGAAATGGAGTACCACCTGAAAGACCTAAGACCAGCGTCAGACTACCACGTACGGTAAGGACTTTCCCATAGGACATTCATGACTTGGATATGGTGTTAAAACGACTTAAATCCTTTGTTTTTGTCACATTCCTAATATCGATAAGTCAGGTTTGTGGGTATTCACAATATTAGGATTCAAGCTTCATCCAGCCTTATTGATTTGATGTACTGTATTGTGTGTTTGCTAAAGGGTGTCGGCAATGTACAACTTGGTTCGAGGCTCGTGTTCAGAGACCGGCTCGTTCACCACTCACTGCAGCATCCCCGATGTCCCGCTGAGCCCGAAACTCTCCCACCGCACAAAGAGCACCCTCACTCTACAGTGGAAGGTACCGGCACAAACACACATGCCTGTTCATCACAAATACATTCAGTAACACATTTTGCCCCAATAAACATCACAGTGACTTATAATCATTTGGTTCTAATGGATAAATCCACACTGCCAAACAAGACTTTTTCTTGTCCACCTTACCAGTTTGTAGAGTTATACATTTGGGCAAAAACGTTATTCTTTGATTAAAGGGAAGAGTATGTTACTTGATTCAATACCTAGCTTGACTTTATCTGCACAACAGCACCTGATAGAGTAACATTCTTACATCCGTTCCGCCCTCTCTTTAACTTCTTCTTACACAAGTTATTTTATCCCCTCACACTGTCACTGATAAAAAGTGGCATCAGTTACCCAGACAGGATATGAGGCCAATCATAAAGTCACAGCAGGTATTTTGTCTGTCTCAGTGTCAGATTATTTTATCCTTTGCTAATCTATTCGTCTTTCTCTTGTCTCCTTTCTGCCTCTCTCCGTCCATTTTCCTGACGTCCACAGCCCCCGGGCGACAACGGAGCCAAAATTACAAACTACCTGCTCGAGTGGGACGAGGTGAGTCCGTCTCTCACTCTTCCATCTTCTGTCATGCCTTCCCCTTACTTCCAAAAAGCACTCTTACCTATCGCAGACATCACTAAATAGATGTCAACATCCGGCTCCTCAGACAAGATTTAATCCAATCTGTGTCAGCCACACATTTTCCTTTTGATTTTGTACTTTTCCTTGCTTTTTCCTTACAATTCTCCTGTTGTAATGGATCTTGTCGCCCTCTTATATATAATCTTATTTCATTTTCATGCATGCATTTATCTCTTCTCTTCTCTGCAGGGAAAGAAGAACAGTGTTTTCAGAGAATGTTACTTTGGGAGCCAGAGACACTATAAGGTTTCACGACTGTTTCCCGCCTGCGGCTACACGTTCAGAGTGGCTGCACGCAACGACATTGGCACAAGGTACTGTTGTCTCTGACTGAATACATAAACATATGTGCGACCAACACATACACCAAAAGGAGAAATGTATTCATGCACAGATCACGAAGAATAGCATTGGAAGCATATGTAGTAACTAATTGTATTCCCTTATTTATATACTGTAGAAGCATGGATATACTGTAATACATGACAATTGGCTCTTAAAATGATATGAGGTCTGCAACCATTGTTTAACACTAGAACCGCCAGGGGTCGCTGTATACCTAAAACCGCCAATGGATAAAATGTACCCGCTATTAGAATGCATTGATTTTCAAGGTACAATGTTCTTTTATTTATCATACTAGAACACAGGGTTAACAGTGAGTTTTGATCGCACAGTGATGAAACTTATACCAATAGAATCTGTGGACTCTCAGCTTCTATGTGATATCTTTGTGCAGATAGCATGAAGTATAAAATATCGCTACCATGAGTTATGCAAAGCGTGCCTCTATATCTTTCTCTATAACTATCGATCTATCTATCTATATCTATCCATCCATCCATCTATCTATCTATCTATCTATCTATCTATCTATCTATCTATCTATCTATCTATCTATCTATCCATCTATCCATCTATCTATCTATCTATCTATCTATCTATCTATCTATCTATCTATCTATCTATCTATCTATCTATCTATCTATCTATCTATCTATCCATCTATCCATCTATCTATCTATCTATCTATCTATCTATCTCTCTATCTATCTATCTATCTCTCTATCTATAAGGAACCGCAGTACACAACAGGCGTTGCTATAGCAACACGTCATGTTTATGTTTACACGTCAAATCAATAGCGCGAAAATCACTACATTTTCTATAAGGTAAATATTACCCGCTGGCGCTGATGGGTATAAATGGAAAAGTCACAGACTGGGAGACTTGAATCTTTTATTGAAAAAAAGTTACATACAATCAAGAAAGAGCTGCGGGTCAAATGTACCCGTTGGTGGTGCTAGTGTTAAGTAACCATGGACAGTATATGAGTACATATTGTATCAATGTCAGCCAAAACATATTGATGATACATTGACAGAGACTCACAAACATGCCCCAGTCTACCTGTGGCAATTATAGCACAAGAGACAGGAGTCGTTTTTCTCCTTTTCCCTCCATTTCCTCTCGTCTCCTCTTTGCCATTATGGCAGTGCACATCTCTCCTTTTAGTCGTAACGTTGAGAGGGGAAAAGTAATGGGGCAAAGCGAGCGTGAATGGCTGAATTCAGGAGAGCCTTAATGCTTCATTTAGTTTAAATTACTTTTGAATCCATAGGAACACTTGCTCTTACAAATATACTCGGCACATGGTGGATACCGATTGCTATATATTATTCGTCATTTTAAAATGTTTTCCGACCACATTAACCCCTGCTGCTGCCCATACATTCAAATAATTTCCCTCCTGCTACTCTCAAATTACCCGTCGTCACCTCCTGTTTTCCATCTGGCGTCGGACATGTATATCAAATCAGAATCAGAATCAGAATACCTTTATTATAAATGTTCCCCTGTCACACATAGTCTTACAATTGTAGTATTTTTATTCTCTCATCTTTGATCCTCCAAGCCCCATCACCTAGAACCCTTCACCTGAAAATGACAATTGATGACAGCATTAGATAATCTTAATCACATTTTCCCCAGCTTTCAATTTTCAAATCTTCTCCTCTCAGCATCTGTGAAATTGTAATTCATGAACCATAACCTCTCTAACCTTAGAAGTAATCCAAAACGTTTTTTTATTTGCTTGAGCAAGTTGAATATAAGCAAGACTGTTACTTAAAGGTCCCCTAGTATACTAGGTCTCTGTCTGTTACTTTAGATGAAAATAAGGAGCCCCTCCCCACACCCCTCTGAGAGAGATTTGGTTACAAAGAACACAATGGTGCTCTAGGAGGAGATAAGGTGGGGGGGGGGGGGGTTACCTTGGTTGCTGATTGGCTAATGGTTACACAAGACAAAACATCGTTATGACATCATAAAGTGGCCAAAATCTGATCAGCTCATTTTCAGACAGGTTTTTATAGAAATGGATCAGGACAAAAAGAGAGAGAATCTTTTTACACAGAGGGGACACATGTTGATGTAGAAGAGACATGAAGTAGAGGGGACACATGTTGATGTAGAAGAGACATGAAGTAGAGGGGACACATGTTGATGTAGAAGAGACATGAAGTAGAGGGGACACATGTTGATGTAGAAGAGACATGAAGTAGAGGGGACACATGTTGATGTAGAAGAGACATGAAGAAGAGGGGACACATATTGATGTAGAAGAGACATGAAGAAGAGGGGACACATGTTGATGTAGAAGAGACATGAAGAAGAGGGGACACATGTTGATGTAGAAGAGACATGAAGAAGAGGGGACACATGTTGATGTAGAAGAGACATGAAGTAGAGGGGACACATGTTGATGTAGAAGAGACATGAAGTAGAGGGGACACATATTGATGTAGAAGAGACATGAAGAAGAGGGGACACATGTTGATGTAGAAGAGACATGAAGAAGAGGGGACACATGTTGATGTAGAAGAGACATGAAGTAGAGGGGATACATGTTGATGTAGAAGAGACATGAAGAAGAGGGGACACATGTTGATGTAGAAGAGACATGAAGAAGAGGGGACACATGTTGATGTAGAAGAGACATGGACAAGTGGATTTTGCATAATAGGTCCCCTTTAAAATTGAAATGTGTTTTTGTGCAGTGGTTTCAGCACAGAGGTGGTGTTCTACACCATGGGCACCCTGCCTGCTCTGCCTCTGGCACCGCGGCTGGTCAGGGCGGGGGTGTCCTGGGTGACCCTGGAGTGGGGGCGTCCTGAGGGCAGTCCGAGCGAGGAGCAACTCAAATACACACTCGAGATCCAGGAGGACAACAGCGTGAGTACTGTGCACATGTAAACATATACCATAAGAAAACATTTATAAAGTTTATCTTGCTGGCACAGGTTTATTTTTCTTTATATTAAAACCGGCCTCATAGATACGTTTCAGGACCTACACAATCCACCATCGCAAACTTGGTTTTGTGAAATATGTTTTCGTGGTGTTTCATTCAGCTCTGTGCTGTCAGTCACGAGAAGAGCAATAAGAAAATTAAAAAACTTCCCCCAGGAAACTATATACCTAAAAAACTGATACTATTTTAAGGAAATAGGAATAATTGCTTGCATTGCAAAATAGTCTGGAGAGATGTACAGCACAGTAGATGCAAAGAGCAGTAATGTATTTCATACACAAGCTTGGACACACCATATGCATTGACTGTTGTATGTAAACAGGAAAGGAATTGTATGAAAGGCACTTCTTACTCCCTTTACACGTACACAAAGTAAAAGTCAGCATTTACTGCATACATCTGTTTATAAATGTACATTTTAATCAATACCTGACTAATACCTCACACACACACACAGACACACACTGACAGATTTTTTTGTGTCCTTATTTCCCACAGGGAACAGACTTTCATCCTAAGTACACTGGAGACAACTTGACCTGTACTGTACAAGGACTGAAGAGGAGTACACAGTATAAATTCAGGGTGAGTCACAACTTTCAAATTTATTTATTTTAAGGATTATTTTCTTGGCATTTTCGCCTTCACTGAACAGATTACGGTGTAGAGGAAAGAGTGGAAATGGGAGAGAATGGGTAGGCTATGACATGCAACAAAGCACAGCTTAAAACGATATAATCAGTTTCAAAGTCTGATGAGTATAAGTATATCTACAAACTTCCCCCAGCTAAATATTATATTATCATTTTAAGCTGCGGGAACTTTGTTGCATTGAACTTTTTGTATATTTTTATATACATAAAAGACATACGGTATACTTCTGGTTGAGAGTTAGAGAATACCTATCACTCTTATGTCTGTGTGGGTAAATATGAAGCTAACATTGCAGCCAGTTAGCTTAGCTACAGTAAGACTCCGTTCACCGCCGCATCACAGCGGGAGGAGCTGCAGGTGAGCAGAGCTGCGTGTCTCCGTCCTGTCAGATTAGACTTCACTCGCGTTTATGTCCATATCGAGAGAAAGATAAATAATCTGAATTCAGTGTTCAGTTTACTTTGACGCGGGGGTGAGCAGCAGAGGTGGGGAGAGGCGGGGCTATTGCCTCATCATTATCAGAAAATGATCGTATAGGGCGTACACACGGAGCCGTTGGACCCCCCAGAGCGTTGCGTATGCCGTTCTATCCACCTTGGGACCCGTTATCGTTACCGTAGTCGTTTAGTGCCGTATGCGGTCGTCCTAGTGTGGCCGAACGGTCTATATGACATAGAACGGTAACGGAAACGACCTAAATGTTGTTGTTTTTTCTTGTTAGCAATGTATTACGGTGCAATCATATAAAACATCTCCTGTGGACTTCCACTCACGTGTACCTGTCCTCACTTACATCATCTGATTGAACCCGAGTACATGAACATACATGCTCACAAGAGACACCTGCGTTCTTTGTGATGGCCACCTGCTGAGAACATCTGGGTAATTGATTGTCCACATGGGATGGGTTAATGGAAGAATTAAACTGAACTGAAGAGCGATGAAGACACAGGTGGAGGAACAGAGAGTAATGGCTCCTATTTATCAGGCTGTTTCTTTACTTATTGATAAATGTCCACACCATTACCACCCCACTGTTACTCATCGTGTCTTCTCTTACTCTTTTCTTGCTTTCTCCCACGCTTCATCATACCATCCTTTCTCTGTATCCTGTCATTCTGGCACCTATTTTCCTGTCTTTTTCTTTCCTCTTTGCTGTGTTCCTTTTCTTTTGTTCACCTTACACTGTCCTTCCTTTATCAACGATTACATTTGTCAATCTCCCCGCCCATTTCCTGCAGCTCATAGCATCAAACATGGAGGGAAAGAGCAGTCCCAGTGAAGTGTTGGTGTGCACCACCAATCCAGACAAACCAGGCCCTCCATCTACCCCCTGTGTCACCGCAGAAACCCCCTACGGATTCACCATCACATGGGGTAAAGATACGCACCAACACACACATGCACATGCATTAAACAGTCTGGTGCATTGACCAGTGGAAACACACAAAGTCACAGGGAAACATAACCACCAAAAGTGAATTCTTCCTTTAGTTTTAACCCTTTATTTTGATCATGTAGTCAATTTAAACTGCTGAGATACTTAGGATTGCTTTAAAAAGAAAGAAAGCAAAGGTTGAACATGTTGTACATTTATTATTGGAATAATATAAGAATATCGTTTTAAAATAATCTGGTTTTCATTGGTTTGATTCAAATAAATGTCCAAAGTATCATTGTTTTATTAGGTTGTTGTTTTTGTAATCAAAAAGGTCGAACAGAGCGTATTGCAGAGGAAATGTAGTGATGGATAGTCATTGACAAACTGCTGCCTCTGGAGTGTTATCATGAAACTGAATTAGCAGCCATAAAAGTCCTCATGTCTGCAGCCGTCCATCTGTCCTGCGCTAGTACTGCAGCCTGCCCTTTCTCAAATGCACTGATCTCAATCACCATTTAGATCATTTACTTTACTATAAAAGCTGTAAACACAACATATTTTTTATGTTAAACAATTTACCTTTAAAGGATGTTTAGTTAGTTGGTATATTAGTGTGATTTGTCCACCAACAACAGCTTGGCCATTTCAAAGTGATGTAGCTGCACTGTATTCCCCTGCTGCTTTTTTACTTGTGCTTATTTATTATAACTGTACCACCCGAAGGTGTGACTCACTGTAATTATTGCTCCAGTGTTGATACAATAAGTATGGAGGAGGCGTGTGGTGCAGTGGGTTGTGCGTTGGTGTTCGGATCAGGGGGTCACAGGTTCAAACCCCACTGCAGTCAGCATGTCGTTGTGTCCCTGTTGTGTCCACTTCACCCCAAATTGCTCCTGTGGGGATTGCCCACAGTATTGAGTATGTAAGTCGCTTTGGATAAAAGCGTCTAACAAGTGACATGTAATGTATGAGAAGTGGCACAGCTGAGGAGGTTGCTTCCAGTAGTGCTGATTTACCTACAATCTCAGAATAAATCATTCCCTATAGGGGGCATATTATGCTCCAGTCGCTATCACAATTTCTGTAAAATGTTTAGTTTTTTCCAAATAGCCCATACACACTTGAAAACAAAACAAAAGGAAGCTTTTATTAGCTCCCTTATGCTTTGGCTGAAAGACAAGACAATTTGTCACAGTTCCTGACACTTTATGAGATATCCCATCATGTCTTCAGGATTGATGAGGAGGCTAAATGTCATGAAGAGTCTAACGGATGACTTATGAATGTGTTCATCATTTTTCAATTGATGTGTGCTAATACTGAGCCAGTTTTTCATAAATGTCAGGATGCAAATTTTTCACACATATTTCTCTCCTGCTTATATTTATAACCCTTTTTAATCATCCAACAGATCCTCCCCAGGACACCGGGGGCTCAGAGGCTCTAACATACCTGCTAGAGATCTCCGAGGGATGCTCTGAAGGTAGGATCCATATGTCTGAATCTAAAAGTCCATCTATCCATGGGTGCCACTATCCGGCTAATTTGAGTCATTATTCAGTCCATCCTTTTATAAGAGGCTGCTCTAAATGTACCATCTGTCCTCACTCCCCTGTGTTATTTCTCCCTGTGCCTCAATTTCTCTCACTTACTCCCCTAAGAAGACTTGCGCCCTCAATTTACCCTTTGTTAGCATCAATTTAGCATTCAGCATTTTAAGAATTGACCACATAATCCAGGAAACCAAATGTTCTTTTGTTCCTTCAGCAGGGCGAGGCATAAGTGCTTTAATCTGTATTCATTCAATAATGTCAGAGAAAAATACGTTAGGGTTTTTTGGAGATTAGTGTTGAAAATCAAAGAACAGAAGAATAGATGATAAATACTCTTGCATTGGTAATGTAAGAAGATCTACAGCAGCAGATATCTAACCATATGTTCATCTGATTGCTATCATTCGAGAAATCTGCTCCTGGATTGTCTGCAACTCAAGTCAGTCAGTGTGACTGAATGTGATAGGATTTGTCTAGCACTGCAGTTTTTATTAGATGAAAATGTTCAAAGATCAGCTAAGGAACTTAACTTTGAATGAACCCTGAGAACCTGGCCTCAAATGTATTTGTTAAGTATTTCATATCCATGACTAATACAAATGTCCTACTTAGTAATCATTAATAAAAAGCTTGACCTTTAAAGACCTCATCGGCTTCATCAGGGAGTGGGTGTCATTTGATTAAATTTGACCTAAAAACCAACTGTCATATTCTTACATCATATTTTCTTTAAGTGTTACCCATCTTTAAACCAGCGAGAAGACCACAGACAAAATACAGAACAACATCTCTAGTGAAATAATATTAAACATCCTTGCTTTGGTGTTCATGTAGGATTCTATTGCTGACTGTGAAAAATAGCTATTCAGGGCTTTTAAAACTAAAGATACCTTGCAACTATATAGATATATTTTTCACCCACGATTCACCCTCCCCATCTCTGTTTATTTTCTCCATGTCCTCGTTTTTTTTGGTGACCTTTTAAACTTTTGACCTCTCGCTAAATCAGACCAGGGGTGAACTCTTGGAACAGCCATGACGTGTGCCCCGGCCACACGAGGACGAAAACGGTCGTTTGCGTTACTGTTTAGTGTCATATAGACCGTTCGGCCACACGAGGACGACCGAATACGGCACTAAACGACTGCGGAAACGATAACGGGTCCCAAGGTGGATATAACGGCATACGCAACGCTCTGGGGAGTCCAACGGCTCCGTGTGTACGCCCTATACGATCATTTTCTGATAATGATTGCGCAATAGCCCCGCCTCTCCCCACCTCTGCTGCTCACCCCCGCGTCAAAGTAAACTGCACACTGAATTCAGATTATTTATCTTTCTCTCGATATGGACATAAACGCGAGTGAAGTCTAATCTGACAGGACGGAGACACCTCTCAAACTACCTAAACTAGTTATAAATATGTTTATTTTTACTGTCGGCCGGGTCACTCATTACTGGATCAGCTGCTGCATGACACAGACACTGGCGCTGTCCAAAGAGAGGGAGGAAAAAGAGAGGCTCCATGTATTTTATTATTATAATATATAGAGTCGTTATTCATTTGTTTTAAAGCTCAATAAATAACAAAGAAGACCTTTGCCCGGCACTTTTATAATTTTGTCGGAAGATTTAAACTTTAATACACGTTGACTGGCGAAAAACTCTGCCCGGTTCCCTCGGCCCCCACCGCGGAGAATAAACAGAAGGGCAACCATGACAACCATGCTTCTTCGCTGCTTTTGTGGAGGAAGTTACAGCGCCACGTACAGGCTCCTGCATATGTACTGCAGCTTCTCCAGCGGTTGGAGCTAAACGGAGCGGTCTCGTGTGGGCAGACACTATCCGGTGAATATTGCGTGTGGACGGAAGCTTTTTTGCGATTGCGTTTGCGTTAATCCTATGCGTTTAGCCGTTTTCGTCCTCGTGTGGCCGGGGCATAAGCCCGTTCTGTAATTCGACAGTATTATGTGTGCATTGTATACGTGTGCTTCACTGCTCTGAAACAGATGTTAGGGTAAGCTCGGAGCAGTCACTGAAGTCGTTATTTTGTATCTACTTGAACTCCTCAGTGAGCTGTTGTCAGAGTATGTAAATAACTTAGGTGCAGAGATGGCAAGAGTACACACATCCTTTACTCAAGTAGAAGTACAGATACTCCTGTTTAAAAATACTCTGGTAAAAGTAGAAGTTCTGACTTAACTACTTTACTCAAGTAAAAGTAAAGAAGTATTGGCTTTGAAATGTACTTAAGTAAAAAGTACCCATAACTACCAGCTGTTTTAAAGAGTACCTGACCTCCCTTTATATTAATAGAACAATAATGTAATTGTTAGCTAATGAATGTTTCCATGCTGAACAACGGCAACATGACAACGTTTTCATTGGTCTCTCTTCTTTAGAGAAGACCAGGAAATGATGGATACACGGATCGTGTTCAAATCAATAGGCACGCAATGACTCTAAATAATAATGATCACGCCACCAAACACACATTCAAACTAAAGTAACTAACCTGTTTTGAAAATGTTAGAAGTAGAAAGTACAGGTATTTGTGTTAAAAATGTAAGAAGTACTCCACTACTTCCCACCTCTGCTTAGGTGTAAAATCTCTTATGCAGCAAAAGTGAAGTGATTTTGTTTCTGGGGAAATAATTAGATTGACTTCAGCATACAGACAACGCAGCTGGGGATTCTTTGTGTGATGTAATGCTTATGTATGTGACCAGTTGTGTAATTCAGTTTTTGTGTGTGTGTGTGCAGCAAGCCAGTGGGATGTAGCCTACAGTGGTCCAGCAACACAATGTGTGTGTGAGCGCCTGACACCTGGGACCTACTACCGCCTACGTGTGTGTAGCATCACCACCGGAGGACACAGCCCGGTAAGACACACACACACAGTCATGCATGCTAAAGTTACTTCACAGTAGTAATCTGGTCAACTTCCTGAAAGATTATGGTTCATTTTCAGTGGCAGTAATGCACTCAGTGTTACTCATGTTGAAAAAATGTGGGGAAAACCACAATCTGTACTATAATAATAACAAAGAACCCACATATACATAACTTTATTCAAACTGATTTCTAATTCCTCCTCCTTGTGATTTCCTTTGTTTATCCTGAAGTGTACTGTTAGTGTTCCGGTCCGTACATTAAGCGTCCCGCCAGGACCTTGCCAACCACCAAGGATTGTGGGCAAAGCCAAACACAAGGAAGTGCAGTTAGAATGGGGTGAGTACAAACATACACGTATGCTTTGGATTGTTTTATGTAAGGTGGCTTAATCACTGTCTGGCAGCTAAATATGTTTCCTTGCCAACTCTAAATTAATCTCAGTCAACCATGTTTCAACCTAATTGAGCTCTGATTTAGCCCATTAAATGCCTAACTTAGCCTCATATCTGATGTAACTCTCCTAATGTCAGCCTATTATTGCAGATTAGTACTGTTGTCTGTTGGCAGGCAAAAGTATACGTTGATGAAGTTCTTGTTTTAACCAGTGTAATAAACAGCACACAGCCCTAATCAGCTCACATTCACACAGCAGTCCTGCAATTACTGGCCTCTAGTTGAAGGTCAAACATAATGTATTGGAGGGTTTTCCACACTGCAACTAAGGGGAAGCAGCTGTGGGAATAATCCCTTGTTGAGGATTTTAAAAAGCACCTGTTGACCTGATCTGTAAACGCATGACATCAAAAACTAAACATATTTAGAGTTAAAACGTATACATCAAATCTGTTCAGATTGCTTTTTCTTCATGCCATCTGATCATAGTTTGATTGTCTCTGTGTCCCTGTAGAATCCCCTGTCACTGAGGGAGTGTGTGAGGAGTGTGTGTTCAGTCTGGAGATGAGCGAGGGGGACGCCAAGCCAGCAGAGGTCTACCATGGGTCAGAGCTGCAATGCACTGTGGGTAGTCTGCTGCCTGGTGCCACATACAGCTTCCGACTGCGGGCTGCCAACGAAGCTGGGGTGAGAAATCTACACAAACATCAGGAACACGAGAGAAAAACCGTCCACTTGTAATTCACCAGGCATTACCCTGAAATCCACCAAAAATCCCTTTCCTGATGTTAGAACCATACACCTCCACAAGTCAGCTTTTCAAAATGAATACAAGAATTTCTTATTTTTCACTTTACAAGCATATAAGTCTCTCTTTAATGGCTCTTATAGCAATACTATCCACTCAGCACATTGAGTACATTAGCTGTGGAACCACTTTATATGATCCAAATAGATGGATGGATGGATGGATGGATGGATGGATGGATGGATGGATGGATGGATGGATGGATGGATGGATGGATGGATGGATGGATGGATGGATGGATGGATGGATGGATGGATAAGAAGTACTTTATTGATCCCAATTTGGGAAATGTTTGCGTTGCAGCAGCAATACTTTAGAATATACTGTATATGTATACATGTGGAAATACAAATTTCCAGTAACAAAACAAATATTAAAAAGCTCACACTTCATTCAAATTCAAGTGGATTTTTATGAAGCCACACCAGAGTTCCCGTTTATTTTATTATTTTTATTATATATTTTTTTGCCGGTCAAAATGTCCGTTAAAGTTTAAATCTTCTGGACAAAATTAGAAAAGTGCCGGTCAAAGGTCTTCTTTGTTATTTATTGAGCTTTAAAACAAATGGATATGATTTGATATTAAACAAACTAATTATAGTAGATTAACTACATTATTCAAAAGTGTACAGTAACTTACAATAACACGGGAATAATAAATGAAGTGCTCTCTCCCTCTCCTGACAGCCCGCCAGTATCATGCAGCTGGCGGATCCAGTAATGAGTGACCCGACAGTCAAACTAAACATATCTATAACTAGTTACGGTAGTTTGAGAGCTCATTAAAATAGCTACGTGTGATTTTCTAACCTGAAGTGTGTTTTGTCCGCTCACCGCTGCAGGTGATCATGCTGCGTGTCGACTCGTCAGCAGCAGCTGATCTCTCTCTCCCGTCAGATTAGACTTTACTCGGGTTTATGTCCATATCGATCAGATAGCTAGTTCTAGCTAATGATATGACTACCTGCTTATCAAGACACCTAAACAATAAGCGTCGCTATGCAACCGGGTGAGGCCACAAAGTAGAGCGCAGCATTATGCATTTGTTTACATGCCCACCGGAACCCCGAGGCATTACCAACAGATCAACGCACAATCAACCCATACAGGACATCTCTTTCTCCACATTAAGTGTTAGACATTAAGACGATAAGACTATTCTTGTCTGTCATATAAGTGGCGCAACTGATGCAGTATTGCGCTAAGGATTGAACTATTCATATCTTAAACTGCACTGTAACTTTTATCCATGTATTTTTTCTTTTAATGTTTATTTTATTATCTTTTCTTTTTAATGACTGATTTTAAATGCCATTGTCTTAATGTCTTTCGTTTTTTGTAAAGCACTTTGAATTTCCTTGTGTTGAAAGGTGCGATATAAATAAACTTGCCTTGCCTTGCCTAAGGGGAAATTATTTTGACCGGACATTTTGACCGGAGAGATTTAGATTTGCCGGTCTTCAGCATATTTTACTGGTAATTACCGGCTAACGGGAACTCTGAGCCACACTCACACACATTTACAGGGCCCGTATGTAAGAGTTCAGACCGCCCCAGACATATTAACAACAGGCGTTCGGATGCAAACTGTAAGTGTTCCACAGCCCAAGAGGGAACTAGCACTCAGACTGGCTGATTCTAAAACACAACACACACATGATGAAGGAACGACAAACCAAACTAAATAGCAATTACCATAACAGGCAACCCAGTTTGATTTGTTCTGTCTCCTGCTGTTTCTGAGTGTGCTGGTTTCTCTTCTTCCCCTTTAGTTCGGAGTGTCCTCTGAGCCAACCGAGGTGACGACTGCAGCGGGCCCTCCTGGCCAGTGCGGGGCGCCGCTCATCGCTCTCACCAGTAACACCTGCGTAACGCTCAACTGGGAGGTGAGACAAGGACAAAAATACACTTGAGTATTTACAGAGGTGGGAAGTAGTGGAGTACAAATACTTTGTTACTGTACTTAAGTAAATGTTTCTGGTATCAGTACTTTACTCCACTACTTATTTTTCTGACAACTTTTTACTTTTACTTCTTACAAATACCTGTACTTTCTACTTCTTACATTTTCCAAACAGGCTGGTTCCTTTAGTCTGAATGTGTGTTTGGTGGCGTGATCATTATTATTTAGAGTCATTGCGTGCCTATTGATTTGAACACGATCCGTGTATCCATCATTTCCTGGTCTTCTCTAAAGAAGAGGGACCAATGGAAACGTTGTCATGTTGCCGTTGTTCAGCATGGAAACATTCATTAGCTAACAATGACATTATTGTTCTATTAATATAAAGGGAGGTCAGGTACACCCGCACTGCGAGGGGGACCCAAGTTCCCATCAGCAAAAACACGTGGGTTTGCTATCCTGGCTCCAAAATGGTGGAATGAGCTCCCCATTGACATCAGGACAGCAGAAAGCTTACACACCTTCCGGCGCAGACTGAAAACTCATCTCTTTCAACTCCATTTCGAGCGATAAAATGAAAAAACAAAAAAACAAAATAAAAAGCACTTATATACTAATAAAGCACTTATATACTAACATAGGACTGGCTTATCTAAAGCCAGTTGAGTAGCACTTGAAATGTTTTGCCTCTATGAAACCTGATTCTGTTTTCTTCAAGGTTGTATCTTCTTGGTCGAATGCACTTATTGTAAGTCGCTTTTGATAAAAGCGTCAGCTAAATGTAATGTAAAAAAAAAGTATTTATCTGGAAGTATAATCCTCATTTCCCTTAGGCCTGCTTTAATGTGCCGCTATTTACTGTAGTGGGAAGAAAGAGATGTTTTAATTCAGTGTGTGTGTGTGTGTGTGTGTGTGTGTGTGTGTGTGTGTGTGTGTGGTGTGTGTGTGTGTGTGTGTGTGTGTGTGTGTGTGTGTGTGTGTGTGTGTGTGTGTTGTGTGTTGTGTGTGTGTGTGTGTGTGTGTGTGTGTGTGTGTGTGTGTGTGTGTGTGTGTGTGTGTGTGTGTGTGTGTGTGTGTGTGTGGTGTGTGTGTGTGTGTGTGTGTGTGTGTGTGGTGTGTGTGTGTGTGTGTGTGTGTGTGTGTGTGTGTGTGTGTGTGTGTGCGCAGAGTCCTGAGGGTTCGGGTACAGACATCTCTGAGTATCGCTTGGAGTGGGCGAGGGAAGAGGATCCCATGGAGCTCATCTACTGTGGAGCCGCCACTCAGTGTGAGCTGTCCGACCTGACGCCTGCCACAGACTTCTGCTGCAGGCTGCAGGTAAAACACAGACAAATATACATTTAAAACATACTTTTGGTTATTAAATAATAATGATAAAGATTTTTTTATATAGTACTTTTCATACACATGCAGCTCAAAGTGCTTTACAAGATGACACATCACATTTAAAAATAAAAGACATTCCCCTCAGATTATTTGTTGTAACTTCACAGGTACATGCACCAAAATATAACATGTTATCAGGTTAATAGACACAAGGAGGTAAAATGTATGATAATCAAAATAAAATAAAGAATGGTTTCTCTCTGACACATACAGTAAGACACAAGAGTTGATTAAACCCCATTAAACAATGTGAACATAGGTACAACAAAAATACAAATAAAAAGATAATAGTAATACAAAGGCCATAATTCTAATAAAGGTTAAACGATTAAGAAAAAAAAGACCAACGTAAAATGAAATATTGCTATTGAAGCATGTTAGATTAATAAAATAAGATAAAATAACATCCTTTAAGACCTATAAAACAATATAACAAAATACCCACTTATTCACACACAGATACTGAATCCGCACACAGAGAAGTTATCTTAGGAAATAAGTAAGCACTTTAAAGGACATAAACACAGATGTGAATTCAAATATCCTCCTTGAAAGATGTCAATGTCAATATAAACAGCTGGTGAAACAATACAAATGAAAATGTACATAGATTCCTGTACTTAAAGGTAGGGTAGGTAAGAATGGAGAAACCAGCTCGAATGCGCTAGAATTTGAAAGTACGCAGCCGAAAAAAATCTGCCCCTTCCTTCAGACTTCCTTACAGAGCCCCTCCTCCAACACACACGAACGCGCACATGACCAATGAGGGCATTCCATGCACAGATGGAAGGCTGACAGGCAGGTAGGCCATCCAGTTACTTTAGCCGGGCCGGCTCAGATGATTGGTCGTGCTTTTTACAGCGCTACGGCTTCCACAGATGACATTTATTTATGTATTTATTGTCAAAGCATTTAATGTATTCATTGCTATCGGGACGTTAAGAGCATTCCATGGAATATAACAAAAAGTGTTTCTGAAGTGAGTTACCTAACCCACCTTTAATGTATAAAGTTATTCTGTAAATTATTTGTTTTTGCATCCATATTAACATTTTAGATGTGAGGATAAATGCTTTGAGAGCTTTTGGTTTAGGTACCGTGAAAGTGCTTGAGTTTTTACTGGAAAAACTGTACTGACCTGAAACACGTGAACAGTTACAAGCATTGCAGAACATTAAGTAAGAACACGAGCACAGACAAATGCAGACACTTGCATACAAATATACAAATTACAACCAAGGGAGAACCTAAAAGCAGGAAACAAACACCGACGGAGTCCATAGAAAGGTTAATGATAATTGATTTTACCTTCTGACTCTTAGTCTAGTGCATAAATAAGTGCTCTTGTTTTCTTTGTATTCTTATAACACACACACACACTCTGAGTTCCCCCTCCTCTGAAGCTATGAATGTAGTAACAGCCTGGTTTATTGCTTACTTCTACATGGGCTCACTTATGGTCTAAGTCACCCAAATGTGCGTTTATATAAAAAAATTGGGCATAACTGACTCTTAAGAGATTTGCACAAACAGACCACATAATAGCCATCGACTTGTTTGAACTCTGTTTGGCTCTCTTATGTCCTCTACCTGAAGGATGTAATGGTGCAGGTTCACGTACTGTAGCATTGGAAAATCTGTATAGCTTGATCTACACATTTTGTAATGAAAAAAAACATTACAAAATCCAATCTCATAAATAAATCCTCAACATTTCTTCTTCTTTTTTAAACCCTGCCAAAAACATATTTGACAAGTGAAGATAAATCAGAAATATGACTTTTTATTGTCTGACCATCAAAGGAGAGAGTTACCTGCCAAGAAAATGTAATAAGTCAAGTCTTAAAGTACATGTTGTAGCCTTCTCATCCTTGATGTTCCCTCACATTAATGTATCTTTGGAGAGTGGCTTCAGTACATTTTCATACTAACAAATAATTGTTCCTCATGTTCTTCGATTGTACTGCATTTTTTATTTGTTACTTATCCAACAAATCCATCGCTCCTGACAGACAGCCAGTTTTGTCCTGGTTGTTACACGGAACAGGCAAGTTTATTTATATAGCACTTTTCTGTACGCGACAATTCAAAGTGCTTTACAAAACAAATTAAAATACTTTTTCGGAATAAATCCAGTAAAGACACATTATATAATGGCATTTTACAACAGGCAATTACAAAGCAAAGATAATAAAATAATAAAAATAAACACAACAGGTATACAATACATGTTTAAAAGGCATACTGTAGTGCGAATATGAGCAGCTAAATCAAAAGCAGCGGCAAAGACAACTTTTACAATCTATATTTTAAAATGTTTTGCATGATTGGGTTTGGATTCCTGAGGCAATCAAGTAGACTATTATATAGCAAAAGCAATCGAAGGACATTTGACAGAGGCTGCTGAATATTAATGTATTTTACATGGCAAGTATGAGTAACTTACTAAACATGCTTTCATGTCTAATTTGAATTAATCTCCCTCTCTTTGTCTGTTTCACCTTTGACTCATTTCTCTTTTCAACCTACTCTTAACCTTTATCTATCCGTGTTGGATGTTGCCTCTTCCTTTTATCCTTCACTTTGTCTCTTCTCTGTCCTCCTATCCCTCCACCCCGTTCATCTCTCACCCTGTCTGTGTTTTTGTCTCCTTCTCAGGCGGTGAATCAGGCCGGAGCCGGTCCTTACAGCGAGCAGGTGAGTTTCCGGACCCCGGCAACAAATCCCGACCCGGTCCCCTCCCTCGTCCTCCTGGACCTCCCCACCCCCTTGGAGTCGGGCCATTCCCCGTCTACCTGCCTCCACCTGAAGTGGGACGAGCCAAACAGCAACGGGGCGGAGATCAGCTCCTACGTCATCACCCTGGACGACCAAACCATCGCTGTGGAGTCAGGGACAAGTCACCTGGTCACAGACCTGCAGCCGGACAGCGAGTACAGGTACTGGCATACAATGGTTACAACAGGGCGGACGTGAAAACAGAGGTTTAATCGGATACAAAGTGCAATTTATAAAAGACGATGGTCAACAAAGGTGAGCCATCAGATGTCAGAGCATTTGTTCCTTCCTAAAAAAGTCGCTTGGATAAACTTAACCTGCTAATTATTTGTGTTATCTAACTTACAAACATTACTACAGTACGTTTTGTCCTGGACCTGGAATTTTAAGGCTCAGGTACAGATAGTCTAGTAGTATTTAGTGGCTATATGGATAGCCTTTAAGATGTTTCAAATCAAATCAAGTTTTATTTATATAGCACTAGTGTTAATTTCGTCAGCTATTTTTTAATTTAGTTTTAGTCTTAGTCCTTTGTTAAATTTCCTTTTTAGTTTTGGTCATATTTAGTCACCTTCATCCTGTTTCTATTTAGTCAAGTTTTAGTCGACTAAAAGTCTGAGCATTTTAGTCTCATTTTAGTCAAAGAAAACTAATTATTTTAGTCTACTTTTTGTCAATGAAAACTGTTGAGTCTTTTTTAGTCATCAGATTATATAGAACATTTCAGTCAAACTAGTCTAGCCAAAACCAATAATTTGTCATTTTAGCATATATAAATAAATAGGATTATATCTTGTCCTTATTTGATGAAAACACAGGTTGAATGATTAAGAAGCTTTGCAGAGAGTATCAGGTTTGTGGTGTTGTTACCGGCTGTGTTTTGGCCACATTGCTTCCCTTCTGATAAAACAATGCATTCGCTTTTTTTCTCCGCCTCATTGTAGCGAAAATGGGCCCAAATATCACATCGTTTCTTTCTCCCAAGCAGTGGTGTCTTTAGACTTTTTGACGGACAGGATCGTAACATTTCCGTCATAATCCATTATTATCCGTCGAGTGCACAATTTATCACTCACTCGCGCTGACGGGGGGGTATTCGGTTAACGCGAGTGCGACCACTGCTCCCAAGCCCTGTTGTTGCCATTTTATTTTATGTTAAATAAGGTTAGTTAGACCATGAGTTAGACCCGAGTCTTCCTGACAGTTCATATTGTGCCGCTGCCCGGTGTAATTCAAATCTACCGCCGCGCGCACCGCAGACACACACAGCTGCTGCCCAGCCGCAGCACCGGAAATGGAACTGCTGGGAGAAAAACTGACTGATCAGAAATGTAACGTTATCTTTGATAATATTTCGTCTCCTCATTTTTCGTCAACGAAAGTAAAGAGAGATTTTGGCATAGTTTTTATTTAGTAAACTACATTTTCGTCTCGTCACTTTTCGTCAACGATATTGCATGATGATTTCGTTGCAGTTATTGTTTACTGCCGTCGGTGCCGTCTCGTCATCGTCTCGTTTTCGTCATGGAAAAAAAGGTCGTTGACGAACATATTTCGTCATTGTTTTAGTCAACGAAATTAACACTATATAGCACATTTATAAACGATTTTTGTTCGAGCCAAAGTGATGTACATATAATAACAATAGTCTACAGTAGAGACACTTTACAGCAAATACAACAGCACAGATTGTTCAGAATATCAGTATGAGAAAAACAACACCCTCTATCCTTAGACCCTCACATCGTACAAGGAAAAACTTCCAGAGAAAACCCACAGTTTAAAGGGAACATGGGAGAAACCTCAGGGAGAGCAACAGAGGAGAGATCCCTCTCCCAGGACGGACAGACGTGCAATAGATGCTGTATGTAAATCGAAGAGATAATACATTTTACAGCATATAGACCGAATGTTAGGAAATGCATGTGTCTGTAATAAGAAGATGAATCCACGAGGATGTCAGCTACAATCCTGTGGAAGCCATCAGGGAAGCAGCATGATGAGCCCCAAGGCAGGACCGCAGAGGCAGGTTCAGCCACGACCCGAACGTCCACGACTTAATCCAGAACTCAGGATAGAGGATCCAAGACACAGGACTACAGCAAGAGGATCAGCCTCGACTCCGGATCCCGGCGTAGATATAGATACAAAACAAGAAAAAAGATTTGGCTGGGTTAATCGGAACAAGAGAATACACAGACACAGACAGAAAAGGTCATTGGATAAAAGTTATTCTTGATAACCCTCTAGAAAGATCTCATGAACTTCCCCACTCAATCTATCAAGACCCGAGCAGTTCTATTAGAAGTCCAAGGCACAGGCCGGCGTTTGGTGACACAAATGTCAGATGGTGGTAAGGGAAGATCCTCTGCGGTCTCCTGGGTCTCTGCTGCAGAGGATCAAAAATGAGAATCAACCAACTGTGCAAGATTTTCTTTTACAAAATAAAATATGAAAAAAAAAAGTAAAAGAAATAGTAAACTCGAGCGAGAGTAAACAACTACTTAGTATTCTGAATCCCCTGCTAAGGCTGTCGTGTGTGTGTGTGTGTGTGTGTGTGTGTGTGTGTGTGTGTGTGTGTGTGTGTGTGTGTGTGTGTGTGTGTGTGTGTGTGTGTGTGTGTGTGTGTGTGTGTGTGTGTGTGTGTGTGTGTGTGTGTGTGTGTGTGTGTGTGTGTGTGTGTGTGTGTGTGTGTGTGTGTGTGTGTGTGTGTGTGTGTGTGTGTGTAGTGAGTTCTTTGAATTGAGGAGGGGGGGGGGATGTCCTCGTAGGCTGGTGATGAGGTCACACCGTTGTTTTCATACTGAGGTTGTTTTTTTCCCAATGTCCCCCTGATCTCCTGCATAATGGCTGCTTCAGATACAGAACACTGTGTGTGTACATGAGTCTACCTGTGAGTGTTTTTGTGTCCAACAATGACGGTAATTGGGGTAGTTTGTTCACAGCAATAGAGTACTTCAAATAATATTTTCCTATTTCAGTGGTGCGAATAACTTTGGGAATGACCGCAGTGACTGTTGTTTGCTCTGTGTGCTTTAGTGCAAGTTTAAATGTATTTTTGCTGATAAATAATGTTAACACTCCAGGTGACTCTCCCCCTTATTTCTCTTCACTAATGGCTTTTTCGAAATACAAGGTTTACAGACATCTTTAGTCATCTCTACTCAGTACCGTCTCAATATATAATAATGTTAAAAGGTTTTTAAGAAGCCTTAAAAAGACTCACCCTTAAACCGACCAATGATGACATTTCTAATAAGTATTCAATGTATAGCGTTGTCCTTAAATTATACACTTTGTTTCCCTCTTGCAAAATAAATGTTGCATTTACTTTTTAGTCAGTTAGCGAGCCGTCATTAACTTGGATATACAATGAATGGCTAAGGAGGTTCAGTGTGCAAAAGAAATGATGATCTGGAGCCTTATGAGAAGGACCTTTTGCTTATTTCCCCATAGTTTTTATCATGTCATTAGCACAGGAAACAAAAGCATGTCTTCTGAACTTTGATATGTAGATCCCATACAAAACATGATACGCTAAGATCCTTTATCCGTCACCCTTTTCCTTCTACATCTTTCATCTATGTGCTTGATGATCTAGCAGATGGATGAACGTCTCCTTTCTCATCACTCCTCGCTCTGCGTCATGAATTATAATGAAAGGTTACAGTTACATAGAATCGGCGATTGAATGTCAGACGATGGATGCTCGCTAGCCTCTGATAGGGATGCTAATCAGCTGTTGAGAGAAAAAAGGAGGGGGATTCTTAGAAGAAAGGCAGAAAAAAAAACGAAATCAATTGCTGCAAGTGCTTTGTAATTAGCAGTAGATCTGTGTGTCCTTGTTTGTGTTTGTGGGGATGTTAGTATTTTCGAGGAAGGTGTACAATTTAAAATGCATGCATACTCGGAATTGTCTTTTTAATCACATAGCACAGAAACTACTGGAGCATGTCTTACTGTATTAATATGAAATAGTCCTGGATTGGATTTCTGGTTTTGACATAGGGGAAGAAATAGCCATCTTTTGGAAAACAGTTCGGCAGTGATTGCTTTTTTCCCACTATATTGTTGATGAAGGAAAACAAGTGGGTCAAGCAGTGCAGAGATACTGAAGTCTCATCCTGGAGAGAACATTGAATTGTAATGGGGGAAAGGTAATGGGCAAAGGGATCACAGACGCATCTAAGGTCAAAGCTGACATGCGAGATCCGCCTCTTCACTAGAAATTGCTCCACCATTAGAAAAATAGGTCTGCAAATACACTCCCCGGTTATATAGTATAAACATTAACTGTGTGTGTACATGTTTGTCCTGCTTATGAACATAATATCTGCAACTCAACATGCAAACAAGACATTTTTCCAAAGTAGTATCCGATTGATACCACAAATGTACAGACAGACAGACAGGCAGGCAGGCAGGCAGGCAGGCAGGCAGACAGACAGACAGACAGACAGGCAGACAGACAGACAGACAGACAGACAGACAGACAGACAGACAGACAGACAGACAGACAGACAGACAGACAGACAGACAGACAGACAGACAGACAGACAGACAGACAGACAGACAGACAGACAGACAGACAGACAGACAGGTATTTGGGAAATGTTTGCATTGCAGCAGCATAAAAAACAAAGGCAATGTACATAAGAGAAATTAAGACACAGAAATAAACAGTCCAATATATTTCAGAAATAAAAATTGAAATAAAATAGCATTTAAAAGTTAAAAAAATATATATAATAATAATTTTTAAAAATATATATATATATATATACATGTGGAAACACAAATCTCCAGTAACAAATATAATGCAGGATATTATTGTACAAGAATGGATTATTCAATAAAATAGAATATGAATGTCAAATGTCCAGTATATTTTAATTCTGTAATAATCAATCTGTGTCTCTCCTTCAGTGTACATATCCAGGCAGTGAATGCCATTGGCTCCAGTCCCTTGAGTCCAACCCTGCTGGTGAGGACACGCCCCCTCCCTCCAGCCCCGCCCCCTCTCGAGTGCTCAGCCTCTGGCCCTCAGAGCCTGAAGCTGAAGTGGGGCGAGAACGCCAGCAACACACACACCCGCGCCCTGCTCGCCAACGACATGCTCTACACACTACAGATGGAGGACAAGAACCACAGGTGGAGTAAACACACTGATCTGTACCATTCTTACCTAATTGTTTACCTCAAGAAAGAAAGAAAGATAAAACGTCAAAAAAGAGGTGTCAGTATATAACGGTATTGCTGATAAGTGAAATACTGTCTGTCACACATATGATAATAATGTGAATCCTCAAGCGCCTCTTGTACTTTTTCTGTCTTTTTCTCGTGTTGTCCTTCCCTACATTTCAAGAATCTTGAAGTCGAAATCCAATCTACACTTCACAATATCCGTTCACACCTCATCACATTTGCCTCTAAGTCATTTACAGCGGCTCCTACCTACACCCTCAGCTCTACTGAATTACATGTGTTGGGGAATCATTTGCCCTGCATGTCCTCCTTCGCCCTCTGACGCAGCTGACCAGCCTTGAGCAGCCGTTATCTCCCATAAGGAGGGGCAGCCCTAGCAAGTTGTTGATGTTACCAGTTTATGACCGGGCAACTCTCGGTCAGAGATAGTTATTGTTGTGGGACACCTGGAACACATCCTTCTCGCGGTGTAGATGACCCCGAGCCATAAGCGACAACAGATGTGATTCAGTGTCCTCAGCTGTTTAGTCTATCTATTGCACAATGTTGATAATTCTCTCTGAACTAGCTAAATACATGGCTCTGGAGTTCTTCAGAATTGATTGTGGCATCTCAATAGTCAACTCGTGGCCCGTGACATGTCTTGTGAATTCTCCAGCTGAAGCTCCAAATAAACCGTCAGTGTTTGCCATCAAAGCTCCAGCTCTCCTCGTGTCTCCTTTTGAGTCGGTGACTCCCCTGCCTTGCTACAGAAGTTTCCCCCACAGTAAGTCTTTACGAGAATAAAACGGCTGCAAAGTGGACGATAAAGCGCCTTTTTCACACTGCTTGCGCGTCAGTGTGTGGTAGAATCCACAAGATGAAGCGATCCCCATGAGAACATGCCGTACTATTATTAGTGCTGAGACGGTTGAAATCAATATCATAGTATTCATATTTTAATACTTTTTTTCTTGGTTTGGAAGTGTTTTTTGTCTAAAGAGGCACTCGTCAACAATACACACACTTCTGTAGAGACAAGAGAATATTAGTTTCACATATGGATCCTTATCTACGTCCCGGAGATTGAAACTGTGTGAGGTTGTGTTTTCTAAACCGTCCGCAACCCATTTCTCAGTCTCTTCAACCCACTGCCAGTCAATACGGCAAATCAGGACCCAGAAGGTCAATGCACACACAAGAAGGGCAGAACATGAGCACCTTGAGAGAAAACGATGGACCTTGTCTGCATGGAAGTGTGTGTAGGTGTTATATGTGTGTGCGTTTTTGTTCCTCTGTCTCTTCATATATGCAGTAACTAGATGTACCAGGGAGTAGGCACGTCCAGGGCATCTGCAGCCAGCCTCCAACAATCAAGGCTCTATTTAACTGACTGGTCAGACAGGTGTGACAAAGAGAGAAACAGTGAGACAGAATTATCAGACGGAGGAGGAGGGAAGGGGGGGGGGGGACATGATGGCTGACAGAGTGCAAAACATAATTGGAAGAGGGCGAGTCATAAAGTGGTCAAAATCTGATCAGCTCATTTTCAGACAGGTTTTTATATAAATGGATCAGGACAAAAAGAGTATTTTTTCCTGAAACTTCCAGAGTCTCTTTCCACAGAGGGGACACATGGTTATGTAGAAAATACATGAACACGTAGATTTTGCATAACAGGTGACCTTTAAAGGAGCCAAGAAGAGGGTAGCAGAAACAACAGAAAGCAGAGCTACTTATATTTCCCTGCTTGTCTGCCCCTGTCAGATTACCCCCCTCCCTTCCACCGTCCAGCGATCCTCCATTCTGGTTGGCCGGCTATCAGGGTTTGAATTAAGGCTTGGCTGGCATCGGGTTGGCACCCATGCACCTTGGCACCTCTGTAATGATCCAGAGTGCAGCGGGCAACAGATGGGACCGATCCGGCAGGCTGCGATCTGTTAACCTCTCTCACACACACAAACACACTCCTGCCGGCCAACTGAGAACAGCTGTGACCGTTCAGAGAGTTCCTAATTGGCACAGTGATTAGTATGACGGTATTCTGGTGTGTGTGTTACTATTTCCTATGTATGAGCATATGTCGGCATACACCATATTTGGATTAGATGATACTTTGAGAAACATCTTGGCACTTGCTTTACATTGAAGCAAAACAATTGCTTTCTTGATTTTACTAAATCTGTCCTTTAGATTATATGATTATTATAGTACATGATATATTTGATAAAACGAATCCTCGGTAAAACACACAATGATAAAGTCAAGTTCAAATTAATTCCAGTTTTGAATGCCACTCTTGTGAAAAGAACAGCCTGTTATTCATTCTGCTTATGAACTAATTACGTGCTCACGACTCTATTGAAATAGAAAAGCATAAAAAGTACATTTATTTATTTATCTGTACTTTAATAGTTTTACATGTTCTGGATTAAAAAGTTTGGTACAGAAAACCTTAAGAAGATAATCAAAAAAACACTCACGTTTTCTGTTCCACAGTAGCTGTTGTTCAGTCCAGGGATAATCGGCATAAATTGCTTTTGCCATTTTACTATATTTATTTTGTGCGATTTGTGCTTGGACTCTGATAGTACACTTTTACCTTCGACTTATTCAAGTAAGAGAGAATTAAAGCTCAATTATTTCAGCATGGACAGTATTTTCTATATCTCTCTTTACAAAATACCACTTTTGAGTAGTTTCTCACAAGCCACTGCCTTCAGAGTCCATCCTCAAGTAAGCTGTTGATTGTTATATTTCTAGCTAGAAAATGCTAATTATTTTAAACAGGAGAGGTCAAATCCAATCCTACAAGACAAGTTGGATTTTAAGTGTTTTAGTGAGACCCACACAAACAATGGCAGCATCTCCACTCAGTCCAGGAACAAATAGAAACACCAATACACACTCCCTCCTCTTCATTACCACAATTTCCTCCATGAGGAAACTCTCCATAAAGTGTAAGTGGCTGAATTGCCTCATAAGGACCATGCTTGATTCCTGACTGATTCTACCTAATTGCTTTCATGTATGATTCATCACTTCCAGCTTCTGGTGGCTGTGACGCGGTGTTTAGGTGTATTAGGTGTATTAGGGGCTGCGTTAATGTGTTTTTATTTGTGTGTGTGTTTGCAGAGGGTTATCAACATGTGAATTGTCTGAGCCGGTTTACAGGTCTCTTCTTCCGATGCGCCTCCTCTTCCCCCTTTGCTTTCTCAAACCACTCTATTAAAGTGAACTAGCAGAAAGTTTTCTTATTGATGAATCCACCATGGCAACAACATACCTCATTGCTAATAATAATGCATCGAGGGAGATACTGAAGGTAGAGAAAGTATAACATCTTGGATCTCTTCGTAAACAAACATATTGAATAACTCGATGCAATTTCTCCAAATGCAATTGTAGATTTTGCCAATAAATTACATCAATGCAATTTGTTAACCAAATAGCATTAGTGTCCATTTATGTTATTGACATTCACCGACCTTGTCTCATTGCCTCTCCCTCTTTGTCTACGGGAGATTCATTTATTATTCATTTTGTTCCATCGGAAGAAAGGTGACTCCACCATGGAGGACCTCTGGAGATATATGCGACCCCTGTCATACATTTTATATTTCCCACCTCATATTTGACCCTCTCGGTTTCTCCCCATCCACCTTGCCATGTCTCTGTGGTGTGCAGATGATACAAACAGCCATTTTCTCAGGCTTCCTATAATGCATCCCTTTCGTTGCTCCTCGTGCTACGTGCCTCTTCCTCTCACAGCTTATTTTGTCTGCTCTTATCAGCCTGTATGCAGACTTGTTGCTCGTGTTCTGTCCTCCCTCGCTCGTGGCTTTTTCATTTTCAATCGTCCTTCTGGCCGCGAGGTTGGGGATGTAAGGGCACCATGGCAACACAGGCAGTGCAATGCAAACGCTTTCTGACAATGTCTTCAAAATAGGGATGAATGCGTGTTAACAACGTGTTTTAGGGGCAAAGTTGAAGGCAGTTGCTGTCATCCATAGGACATTTTAATCCATATATGCACTACTGTCTGTCTGTCCACCCTTTGTCAATCTTCTGTCCTTGAGCCCTACATCTTCATATGTGTCACTCAACCGGCTCATTTCTTTATTTCTGCCTTAATGTTTCGCATTTCTCATTTTCTTAATCCTTATATTTAGTCATTTCTTTCTTTCTGTACACCAATCTGTTTTTCCACACAAGCATTCATTCAGCTACTCTATAAAGAAAGGTATTAATTACTATAATAAATAATTGCTTTTATTCAAACTGACTTTTATATAATTTCTGTGCAAATGTAATGATGATTTAAACACATCGTTAAGCGTCATGCATTGCTAAGAGCTTATTATAGTCGAAGTGGAATGATTTATCATTTTAATATTTCCCAAAAATGAGAAGTTAGGGGTTGACCAATCACTACAGAGCCGGCCAGCTAACCAATCAGAGCAGACTTCCAGACTTTGACGGTTTCAGACACACAGGCAGTATGAGAAAAATAAAGAGCTTTTTGAACATTAAAGCATGTGGAAACAGTAGAGACACGAAATACAAATATAAACCTGGAAATGAGCATAATATTATGTCCTCTTAAAACAAGACAAGCAAAAAATACAAATCTATTTTATGGTATTAGTGCAAAATTCCAATATAAGAAAGCGACATTGTGAACAATAACAGCTCCTTGTCTGCTTCCGACCTCTCTGTCCTGCCCTGCGTGTTGACTGTTGGGCTCTTTGGCTCCGGTCCGAGGATGCGGTTCATCTCGTTAACTGTGGCCTGGTGATTCTGTGTTTAATGTCCGTGCTCTGCTGAGTGTTAATTGTGTTGATGATGGAAAAGTTGATGTATAATTTACTATGTGGGTGGTCATTTTCTGTCCATGTGATTGAGACTGAGGGTGAAAAAAGGGCGGCTCGGGCACAGTATTTACAATGCAACTAATTCTCCCCGCGCTGGGTGTTAACTATAGGGCAGTGAGGCAAAGGATTAATAACATCATATATCAGACACGCATCACTTCACTGTACAGCACATAAAGAGCTCATCTGGAGTTATAGCCGACTACTAAACCATGACCTCTCTCATGTCTCCTTTCTCCCTCCCTCTCTTCTCTTTCCTAAGAGAAAACTTTCTACATGCTTTGTTTTTTATGTCCTTTTTACCCTTTTCTCACAATCTCCTTCCATCTCTGATTCCTATCTTCTCACCTTGGATTTTCTTCTCTTTTTTCGCTCCCAAAAACCCACAGTGAAGATAAGTAACCCCCTTTTCAATTCAAATCCGCATTTCTCCCTGACTTGCCCAATTGCTCACTTATCATCTCTCCTTCAGTCCATCAATCTGTCCGTTCATCCGACCAAAAACGTGCTCGATTTTATTTAGATTTGAGACCATGGCCTGCCAGTGTTCCTCCTCTTTGTTTATAAATCACTGCTGTCTTTTTTTGAATGCACACTCCTCCATTCCCATCAGCATCCTTGTTTCTTTTCAAGGTCTCAACTCCCTATTTCTCACAACAACATTACCCTAGTGTGTTATGCCAAACCTATACTGACAGAGTTAAAGCCATTTTCCAGGGGTACAAATATTCCTTGGTGATGAAACACAGACCAACATTTGAAAAGACAACAGGATTTGTTTACATATGGTAAGGTCAACCACGTCATGCACCAATAACTTGTAATAGTAACTGAGGATGCCTGCTGTGAGGAGTTGTTGAAAGTCACATTAAAATGCATTAACCCAATCCAGAAGTCAATCTCCAAAACACATTTTGTGATTAGAGCAGTCTAGTGTGATGCGTCATCAATCACTGTCCTTCTTAGCCAAGTTTCTAAAATGAGCTTCTCACCTCATCTCTACCTTCTTCTAATATATTCATAGCACCATCACTCCTTCCTCTCACCTTCACCTCCCTCTCCCTTATCTTTAACTCACTTATTCTTTCTGCCGGGTTTGTCCCCAAGTCTCTCCCTATTGTTCTCCTTCACTCCTTATTTTCCATTTACTGATTTCCCCCTTTAGAGTTGTGATTTACTTTCTTATCTTCTTTATATTTTGTGTCCAGGTTTGTGACGATCTACCACGGCCCCAGCCACACCTACAAGATGCAGCGATTGACTGAGTCCAGCAGCCACAGCTTCAGAATACAGGCCAGCAGTGATGCGGGGGATGGTTCTTTCTCCGACACACACACCTTCTGCACCACCAAGTCCGTGCCTCCTGCCCTCAAAGGTAAACTCAACCAGGAAGCTGTTACACAACTTAAATAAATACAGTTTAAGTGGGGCATACGATATTAACCGTCCCTCAGATCCACCTCAGCCGGTTTGCTTTCCATCCCCAAGGCCAAACTCCGGAGCTTCGGGGATAGAGCCTTCTCTGTGGCAGCCCCGAAGCTCTGGAACTCCCTCCCCCAATACCTCCGTGAGTCTGAGTCCCTCACCCTGTTCCAGTCCCGCCTCAAAACCCACCTCTTCAACTCTGTATCCATAAGCCCCCCCCCCCTCTCAACCAACTTCCTCCTGACTGCTTTTCTGTTTTGTTTTGTGTATTTGTTTCTTTTTGGCTTTGTTTTTGTCTACCCTCCCTCCCAAATGTAAAGCGTCTTTGGGTTCCAGAAAAGCGCAATAGAAATAAAATGTATTATTATTATTATTAAGCTTAACCGCTTCCCTTTTGTAAAATGTTGTGTCATTTCGTTTGGCTTGTTAAGTACAAATATGTTTGTAGTCATGCATTCGAGAATAAGAGGTAAATATTTGATTATTATTACCTATCTTATGTTTTTGGACATGTAACCTTACTTTATAGCATAGCATTTAGGCATTTGAAGTAGGGCTGTGCGATTAAGGCAAAAATCATAATCACGATTATTTGGGTCAATAATTGATATCACGATTATTTTGACGATTATTCATTGAACATTTATTGAACTTTAAAACAAATAATATTTTACCAATAAACAAGATCAACAAATATGTTGGAGCGCACTTCCAAAACCATACTAAACATATATTATTAATATGATAAATAAAAATAAATTAGACCAAAATAAATTAAATCAAATATGATGCAGTGCACTGTCACAACCTACTGAAAACTCCTTAACATATAGCCAACATTTTGGTAAAACATATTCATTATTCCACTCAGTTAAACGTTGAAGGCTGGCCAACCGTCATTGTCCAGAAGTAACAGGAAATAAATGTTGAACTACAATTTAAGACCAAATAAAAATGTTTAGGCCACCATGGCAAATGCTGGTAGGGCTGCTCATGTCATCTCTTAAAGATGTTTTGCAAGAAACACCAGCCTGTTTACATGGTCTTGGTTTCAGAGATGAGCGCAGGCAGGTGACAATATTGCCACCTGTACTGAAGACCCTCAGCCACGCCCCGACACATGGGGTGACGCCGGCCAATCACAAAGCTTTGATGCGTTCAAGTGCATTATTCTGGCACAGGAAGATTATGTTACAGGACATTAACGATAAAACAGAATATTGTTGTTCTATTTTTAGACACATCTCGCGATCGACTGGTTGGGCACCCCTGGGCCTAGACCATAGGTCTGTTGTGGTAGCAAAGTAGTCAGCTGAAGCCACATCTCTCTCAACTTCCCCACGGCATTTGTCATATAGTGCAGGCAGCGCAGACCTGCTGAAATAATACCGAGACGGCATCGTGTAACGCTTGTCCAACGTGTTGACAAGTTGCTTAAAGCCCTGGTTGCTAACAGTGCTAACTGGGCACATATCTTTAGCGATGTGGAATGTAATGACAAAGTACTTGCAAATAGTGGAAATAGTTTTACCCTTCTTTTTAACGAGTTGCTGCTCTTGTTCTGACATCTTCGCTCTCGCTGAACACTCACAACACATGTCACTCCCACGTGGCCGAGTGGGCTTTTAGGGAGGGGCGAAAGCGCACCCAGCAAAATAATCGTATTTTGTCAATTATGCTGTTTTCATAATCGTCGCGAGCCATAATCGTAATCGCGATTAAAATACGATTAATTGCACAGCCCTAATTTGAAGCATTGTTGTGTTCATTTTGTAAAATGCAATTCAACATCTTAAGGATGACTGTGTCAACCATATTATATCTGTACCTTTTTATACTCTATTAAGGGTCAAATATTAGACATTAGTTTGACATATAGATTGGATGTAACCAATATTTACTCCGAGTAACCCATTTTTATTTAGTGATATTTAAATCTCCACTTGTTCATATCTAGGCTGAGTTTGAACTGAAATGTTGTTGCAACCTGCTCTGCCAGTTTAAAGAGCAACACTGATGGCCCCAAAGAGGCGATAAGCTTCCCGAACAGGAAACGGAAATACATTTGTTTCTGTTTTTCTCATAGAGATGACATGTTTATTGTTGTATGCTTGATTATCGCCTCCAGTCTGCAGTCTTTCCTGTAAACCGAGAAGCAGTGGCTTATTATACTTGCAATAATCACAGTAAAGAGTGAAAGTATTATGGGTATGTCTGTGAGGCTGTGAATGTGCAGCACAGCATTGATATATCCATAAACAACAGCCTCAGGAGTCCAAGCAGCTTCCATCAAACAGTTAGCCAGTGCATGTGCTATCTGATGGGGTTTTCAATCAATCAATCAATCAATCAATCAATAGGATACGGCTGTAATAGGCCTAAGGCCTTTTAGTCGCTCATAAATAAATAAGTAGATCACTGATTCTTTATTACTATGGATGCTAGCAACAGTCACATAGTCCAAAGTGAAGGTGATATTTGACCAGTAGTGGTCGAGGCGGGATTTGAGACAGTTAACCGTCTTGGATGTGACAACGCTTTCTGGCAGATCATTCCACAAGTCGACCACACGCAGGCTGAAAAAGTTGCGGCGGATAGCCAGTCTTGAGTACTGTTTCTTTCACTTGAGGCAGTGTCCACGAGTCCTGGTGGTTATAATCCCCGTTGTAGTGGGCATGATGTTTGTAGATGTTGTGGAGATATTTGAAAACTTCGATCATATCTCCCCTCGCCCTCTATAATACGTACTCTGGATTTAGGACTTTGCAGTCGTTCTTGATATGGTAGGGGTCCTTTAGTTCTGGAACCAGCTTCGTTGCTCTTCTCTGTATTTTCTCGATGAGCTCAGCATCCTTTTCGGTTTCTTTCCTTCAGGATGAGTTTAGACAGTTCAATGAATAGGTCCCTCTAGAGTTTTAGTAAGTGGTATGCTGTATTAAGCAGAGCAGTCACAATTGGATTACTGTTATGTTGTCATCATCTAAGAAAAATATTGCTTTGCAAAACTGTTATCAACACAGAGAACACATTATACATTATTCAGTTTTTCAGTGTTGAAAGCTTCAGATTTAAGAGCGATATGGATGCTTTTGTAATGTTTTATTGTTTTAAATAAGTAGTATGTATGACATTAATGGAATTGGCGGTCATGGCATTGATATCATGTTTGTATGTCATTTATTCCAACAGCTCCCAGAATGCACCAGCTGGAGGGGAACACGTGTGAGATCACATGGGAGACCATCCAACCAATGAGAGGAGATCCTGTGAGCTACGTGCTACAGGTGCTGGTGGGACGCGAGTCAGAATACAAACAGGTTGGTCTCACACAACACACCTCCATGCACACGCTCGGTCGTCATGTGTCTCTAGAGGCTTAAGATAATTGGGTCTCTTTCTTAAAGTGTGCACGACTCTTGGAAGACATTTTCTTATCTCCTGAGGAGCAGAACAATTCAGTTTTATATTTATGAGGAAGGCATTAAAGAGCACTCAATTGCCCACACCCCTAGACCCACATTTGCACATTGAAGAATGAAACACACACACACAGACACACATACACACACACACACACACACACACACACACACCTTCTCCACTGAGAGATAGAATATTCTGGAATTGAATGTAATCTGCAGTGCCAGCAGGATTTCTGATTGGTATTGAAAGATGTATAATGGGGATGACAACATACACATTTTGACTGCACTTGTAAATACTGGACTGGGCAGTTGATCGACGTGCAGATGAGTAGATTGCAGACAAAGAGACATTGATCTTCAGGGACGTTTTACTCTCCGTTATTCAATTACTGAACGGTTAGAGCGAAGAACTGCTGATTCTCACCAGCAGACAAAACCGCAGCTGCGTGTGCATGAGAGGATGCGGGATGTGTATTTTCTCATTTCATTACGTGTACCGTCATCAGCTGCCAATGCAAATCTGTGAAGCTGCTTTTCAGACATTTTATTCTTCCCTCTCCGTCTGTTTGTTCCTTTTGGTGTAAACACACAATGAGGAAACATCTACTGGTGCATGCACGACTGTTTGAATTTGCAAATTTCATTCATAAATACCAGAAGGAAAGGACATTCTGAAGGCTTCAACAGACAAACACTTCAGTCCAACCTGTTGCCTGGAAAATGGTGTTTAAATGCTCTCATATGCAGGAAAACCACCATTTTGTTATATAACCCAATATTACAAGTCTCAAATTCGCCTAAAGTGGCTTTATCGCTGTACTCTGTATAACCTATACCCTGAGAAGTCTGAAAGAAACCCTAAGGAAGGCAAAAGAGAAGGGATACATTTTTCGTGACATCTAGTTTTTTTCCGGTTTAGGTTATTCAGTTACACAATGAGCAAGGTTTTTTGGCTTTTCTCATACTGAATGACCTATTTCCAGCTTTGAGCATTTCTCTGTTAACCTTAAGATTTAAGATAGTGCTAATGCAGTGTTTCTCAAACTTTTTTGTACCAAGGACCACTTAACCAATAAAAAAACACTCGCGGACCACCTAACTCCACAAATATCCCAAAACACATCGTTTTTCTAGAACGGATTACAAATCGCCTGAAAATGGTACAAACAGGCGGCTACATGTGTGACGAAGGTGTTGCACTGGGCTATATTAAGCAATCGAAAGTGAAACTTAAGCTCGCTCCATTGCAGAGATATTCCAGCGAGAGTGCGGAAACTTACATGTATTCATTTATTTCAAATGTGAAATGTTACCAATATACTCACGGACCACTAGGGGGCGCTCACGGACCACCAGTGATCCGCGGACCACACTTTGAGAAGCACTAAATGCATGTGTCTTGGAGAAAAGAGGGAACATAACTCCTCAAATGTCATATGGAGTAATAATAATAATAATAATAGATTTATTTTGTTAGCGCTTTTACAGGTGCTCAACGACGCTTTACAGATATAGTTGAAAAGAAAAAGTAGGACACAATCAGCAAGGCATTGTTAGATAAAGACTGAATAGACGCTCATGTTATAGATCTTGATGTCCTGACAGATTTGCAGACCCTTTCGTAAATTGCCTCATGCTGAGAGCTTCACCGTGCCAACAATATAAAAACAAGCAATCATAGTTCACTGTGACCCAAGCTACTTTGCAGGTCTCTATTCCATCAAAACACCAACCCACTCATTTTGCTCATGACAAAAAAAAACATCCGGCAGTGAGTTTTGTTGACTAAAATGTTATCGATTGCACAGTAAAATTGTATGTGCTCATTATTGAGATTACACATGCTTTGCACACAGCTTCATTAACTCGTTTCACTCCTTCACAGGCTTTTAAGGGAGAGGAGGCGTGTTCCAGATCTCTGGTCTCCAGGGCAACACAGACTATCGTTTCCGTGTGGGCGCCTGCCGCCGTTGCCAGGATACGTGCCAGGAACTGTGCGGACCCCTGAGCCCCTCCTCTTTTTCACGCTGCGTCGCCAGGAGACGGCGACTTCGGGAGAGCTGTGCCCCGTGGAAACGGGCAAAGGCGTGGGCCTGATCTCCAGCGACGAGCGCTTCGCGGCGCTCATCGTGTGCGTGTTCGCCGGCTTCTCCATCCTCATCGCCTGCTTGCTACAGTACTTCTTCATGAAGTGAGGGAATTTTAACTATAGGATAGAAAGAGAACGCAAAATCACAGAGAAACTCTAAACAAAAGAAGCGAATGAAATCAAAAGAAACACTTGATTTCTACTTCTAAGGCTATGGTCTTTTTTTAGTCAAATTATCAATTCTGGCTTTCCTCACCTTGTTCCTGTTGTCTTCAGCCTTCACTGAGTTTCTCATTTCTCTCTACGTCTCTGGAGTCTTGTCTGTCTCATTCGTTTCTGTCGAGGGAAGCCTTGTGTTAGCTGTACCTCGGATGGGAAAGAAAACTGATAATCAAGCCTTAAAATAGCTGTGAGCGAAGCAGTTGCTCCTCAGACTGACTTGCATGTTTTTTATTTTGTAACTTTTTAAAACATATTTGATTAGAGAACGTGTATATTTCATGACGGTCATTGCCTTACTTTTTGTTTTTCAATGTGTAATTTGCTTCTTTTTTGTTTGTTTTTTGCTGCAGTCTTTTATAATTTCAGTCATATTCCAATGTAGGCCTACAAAGCTTTAGCCGTTCATACCTTATTATTCAGTTACTGCAGACTGTCAGTCAATACATGCAATTCATATCTGCTCAGCTTTTAACATTCAATCATCCAGCTACCAAAGTGATGCAAAAAGTGTGGTGTAAGGTGCTGCTATCCTGTGATTTTATTATATCTAAGAAAGAATGGAAAACCAGTAATCTAATATATATACACACAATATATAAATATATATTATAACAAATATCTATGATGTAATATAAGGTCTGAAGGACAGTGTGAAAGGGGAGGATTCGACCCTAGGTGCTCACAAACAGCTGCTCTGAGGTCAGTTCAGCGGCTGGGAGGAGCCCTTAAATGCAGGTCTCGGATCAGAAAATGCACCCTGGTAGGTATTCGATTGCTGGGCACAAACTGGCTCTAGCGTTAAGGAAGCCGGGCTGGGATTGTGATTGGTTAACTCAACAGGACATGAGCTGATCTCAGTCCTTCCTTATTCTACCATCTCAACTACTACCAGAGCTCCAGCCTTTTAATCTGTAGCTAATGAGCCCGTCGGACCCAAAGGTGCCAACGCTTCTCAGAGCTCTGTGTGTTAACCAGGAGAGCCATTAGCTTGAGCTTTATCCCCCCCACCCTGAAATCTACCAGAGCAGTGCTGAAGCTGTAGCTTCTCCTTCCAGCTAGCCTGTGAATCAATACATTTGAAGACTCTTCCTCCTCTTTTATCCTCTCCTGCTCATAATTATATGTAATGACTTTTTTTTCTCTGGCTGCTCTTTTTCTCTAGCCTTCGATCCATCCTTTTCTTTCTGCCGTCTCTCCCTCTTTCTGTTCTCCCTCCCCCTCCCTCTGTTCTTTCTCTATATAACGGTGCTTTATTGACATGTAATCAGAGCAGTAGCAAGTCTGCGGCCTCTCCTCAGACGGACATGTTCTCTGGGGATTTGAACTAATGTTCACTAACCAAACAAGCCTTTGACAGAACACAACTCAACAGTGCAGGGCCTTCTGACACACACAACACCCCCTGACCTCCCGCCTGACACCCTTTATCCCATCCCGAAAAACAAAGCCAAGGTACAGCCCAATACATACCCTGATGATCCAAAGAAGTCACCCTGACCTGCGTGATTAATGTGTGACATGTCTAATTCTGTCAGGTGGGGTGCAGGGGAAGAAGGACTGGGTGGGAGGTGGTTATGAAACAGTGGGGGGGTTGCGGCCAGCTCTGATTGGCAGCCTGTAACGTACCTCAGGGATAAGGCCTTACAGAGGGTTGATCTAATCCTGTCACCCCCATCGCTGTCATCATTTTAGCTTCTCTTCCTCCGTTTTCTTTCTTTCATTTTTATTTGATGCTGTATCTTGTTCTCTGTCAATGCTGTGCCTTGCTCCTGTATGTGTCAGTAAGCAGTGGTTTACTAGCTCAAAAATACCTTTGCCAAAGTTGATGGGAAAGTTAAGGTAGAGTTCTTTTCTAGGTTTTATTTATACTATATATTTGCATACAGTACTTTACATGCCAATTACAGTGCAATCTTCATTTATTTATTGTTTAAAGATTAAGAGACAAGTAGTTATATACTAAATTTTTTCCTTGTAGCATGGTTTTTTTTCTTTTTCTTTTTTTAATGGATGTTGTTAGATCGTATGATTAAGGCCAGCATTCCTTATCTCAGTAACCCTTTAAGTATTTCTCTTACAGCTGTTGGGAACCTGTAGCTCATCAGTCCATGCATTGCAGTTATCATTGCCGTTTCAAACATGTAACCAAATGCCTTTGTAATTTCTTTTCATCTCCTGTTTTGGCCGTGCACAGCCGAGCAGTTCTTGTATTGCTTAGAGAGACATGTAGCAAAGCAAGGCCTTAGGGTCACGAGTCATCTGCATTGGGATAAACGTCGCTGCCTTTGGCTTTTTCTTTTCCTGATTAGTGTTATAATGAAGCTTCTGATATATTTTTACTGTTTTATTGCCAAAGTGCAGGCTTCTCGTGTCCACTAGATGTTGCGTTTGCAGTCGTCTAAAGGGTTCTGTGATGTTCCTCTGTGACGACACAGCATTACGATTATTATTATTATTGTTATTATTATTCTCTCAAAAGGAAAAAAAAACATTAACTTGATCTGTGATTTGCTTCTTTTCATATTATCTTTTATTATTTGTTTTGTAAAGCAAAATGTGCCATTATGAAATGTGTAGCCCCCTTTCGAATGAGAGTTTTTAACAACCTGATTTCACACTGAAAGGTAAAAAAAAAAAAAAAAAAAGGCAAAAACAATCATTTGATGATTTCAGGCAGATGATGACAATAATAATATTGACGATTCCTTGTTCAGGCTAGTGCTGGTATAGCAGTAGTTAGTATTTTGTATCCAGTATTTTGCTAAGAGATGATATACAGAGGTATCTATAGAGCTATAGAATGAAATGGTAATACATTATAACTAACAGAGTTCAAGCACTTTTTTATGCCGAGCATTAGTCTTGATGAGGTTAATAAGAGCGAGAGGAGACACCAATTCTCTGTACTAAACACTACTGCCAACGCCGTCTGTTACATTCATTGGCATTATTCTGTCGTTGGCGTCACTGTGACATTGGCATTACTGGAGCACGGTTCTGTGCTTCTCAAATGGCGCCTCGCTACCTGCAGAATGCAAACTACGGCAACAAAGGAAGTACAGTTTGTAGGGAGTACGGTTGCTTTCCCAGACGTGCTAATGGCGTGTCTACCTGTTGCATTGTAGTCGACAGGTGATATGTGAGCTCTCCTGTCTTTAAACCCCTGATGTTATGTTGCCCACCCACAGCCCCTTTATTCCCCTTTACAAGCCTTAATGCCCCGGTGGGAGAGCAGAGGTGATTGGCCGAGCTCAGGCCAGTCATGTTAGTGTTGTATAGTCCGAGGTTAACGCACTGTTAACTGAAAGGCTGTGTGTTTGTGGGCAGGGTACTCCCTTTATGTGCTTTGTTGTTTTTGTTCTGTTATTTTTAAATGCTGGTGATTTTATAGATACCCCGCCCCCCCCCATCCTGCATGTCCTGCACATTTTGCAGGTATGTCAAGAACGAGAGACTATTTTTTTCGCCCAACAACCCCCACGTCTGTGGCCTTCTGGTCAGTTTTATTTTTTCCATTTTTATTTTTTTTTTTTATGTTTGTACGTTTTACAGTAAGTAGAGAATTTGGACTGAGAATTTGGCGATTTGAAGAAACGTAGAGACTCACAGGTATTTAACTATTTTTTAAGCGAGACAAAAAAACAGAAACATATTTTTACCTCACGATTTAAAAAAAACAAACATTCCAATGTTGTCATGGTCTACGAATTGAGAAAAAAAAGAAATTCATGCATTTCTTCTTGTATTGTAAATGTTAGACAATTTCATATGCATTATATAAAAGAAACTGCCATATCAATTTTAATGTATAGATTTTTGCAAATACTACCCTATGTATGTAAGACGTAACTGTATCGGTAGCGTATATATAATATATTTATGCCCAATAAATGTTTTGATTTTTTTCTGACTTTGATTGCACCTGTTTGCTTTATTGTGTGTGTCATGATTCACCCGCACTTTACATATACACTGATCTACATGTGCATTGTTGCATGATTACATTTTATACTGATACAGATATTTGCTGTACAAACTATCAGTATACCCAATTTGAATGCAAAAACTATTTAGCTGACATTTACCATTGTGAACTATTGATTTTGTCTTCACGGTTCAATAAGAGAAGGATGATCCTGCTCTGATTAAATATGCAATATGCTGTTGTAAACAAAGCTGAGGGGCAATCAATATTTATAATGTTGTGGTTTTAAAGGAGGATTTACAGTCTGCATTTTGTCTCATAACAGTTATAATTATTTCAAGGGTGACAACATTTAAAATGGCGACAAATGAATGAAACTAAAGACACTTGTATCTTTTGTCACACCGTTATAGGGAGGCTAGAGTTAATGCCTGAGTGTCCATTACACTTGACCTATCAGTGTGAAGGTGTGACTGATAGAATTACTCTTTGGTGGTTTCAATAGGGTTTCGAAAGATAGCCGAGGAGAGTAAATCCCACTCCCTTTCATCCCCTGCGGAGAGAGACTGCTGCTCTGCACGCTCAATCCCCCCTTTGCCCTGCAGCAAGGACAACAGGGGAATAATAGCCTTTCGACGTTTTGTGTGAGCGATTTGTTGCACACAATAACAGGGTTATTTAAAGTTGTGTACAAATTGAATAACAAAATAGGAGGCAACAACACTCCACTGTCCACACAGATATCTGGGTCAGTGACATTTTATATTTTCAAAATGGCAAACAAATGAAACAGCAAGTCAGTTTCAACATTTTCTGAGTGAATTCAAATATGTATTTTTCATTTTTGCATGTGCCCACTGAAAAAGGTAACACGATAAGGCATTTTTATGCATTTCATTGTTTACACCCCTTGAAAATGTCATTCGGCAAAACAAGGCTATTTTCCATATGATATTAAAATCAATGACACAGTCACAGATAGTGAAAAATATAATTATTGATCTATAAGGAATCTATATCCAGGTATAACATTTTCACACCGGTTAGCAGGTCTCCCTTGTAAAAAGAGTTCAATGATCTCAATGGGATTTATCTGGATAAATAAAGTTTGAAATGAAATGAACACCAAAAAACTACAAATATTAATATTTTGTCTTTTAATGCAATAGCTTTCATCACCGTCAACATTTTTTTCCTACAGTTATTCCAGTACAGGTAAAAATGCTTCAAATCATATGAAAAACCCTCTTATTATAATTAAATTTCCCTTCATTCATTGCATTGTTTATGTCAAATTAACACACTATTTTATATATTTTCGTTTGTAAAAAATTCATTGTTTTTACTGTATGACGTCTTTCGTTGCCACCTGAATGACATAACTGCAACTGCAATATGCCATTGCACAATAGATCGAATAACGGGATGTAGTCCTCAATTTAAAAAAGGATACCAAAGACTTTATAATTGAAACTTTACCATTTAATTGACATCAAAAAACAGACTCCAGTCTCCATAACATGTTTCAGATGTCCCCACAGGCCACATGCCCGTTCGTCATGTCGGAGGGAGCCGGGAATTGGTGGCATAGGCTTGAGATGTACTTCACATTTTCTCTTAAAAGTTGCTTTCTTAACTCTTCTATTTCCTCCCTCAGTTTCCGTGTACGGTTTTCACAGTTTTTTTTTCTTGCTTCCACGTGAAGCCTTATCAGGTGTTGAGGATGAGAGTGGTCCCTCCCAAGGTGAGGATGGCTGAGCAGAAACAGATGGCCTAGGAAGTGAGGATGGCTGAGATGGTTCAGGGGGCAACTTGTGGAGGCTCCTCAAAAGAGTCCTCAGACAGAGGTGTGAGGTTCATCACAGCTTCCACCTGCCTCTTTCTTTCCCTACGTCGCCTCTGATTGAGCCTCCACTGTTCCCTCTTCTTTTCAGCAGCAGATGCTGTCAGTTCTGTGACGGACGGATGGTCATGCTGTCCAGCTTGCGTCCTCTGTTTATACCTACAAAGTATTTAGAATTAATTTATTAGTCATGTATTTATTTATTAGATATTCATTTGTTTATTCTTTTTAATGAAGATTTAAGCCAAGTTAACTGCCAAATGCACTTTGTAGTGGTACTGTACTGTAGATATGGAAAACAAATTCAGGCTTATAGATAGTGATGCTCCGATCGCCAATGTTGGGGCCGATCGGCAGAATCAGTATCGGCCGATCCGATCGAGTGGGCGGGGCCTATGGGATCTTCCATTTAAAGTGATGTTTAAAACTCAGTTAATGGGGCTCATTCACTGGCGCTTCCACAAACAACAACCAACATAATTATTACATTCAAATGAAGTACATTATTCAAGTTTACATTAACTTTGAATAATAACCATAGACGTATATAAATATAATAATAACACGGGAGAAATGAG